ATTCATGGTTACCAAAGGTTCAAGGTTAGCCTCTTTAGTATCTTACTGCCTAACTTAGCTCACTTATTGAGCTGTTATATACACTGTCTGGAGATTCTTTTCTTCTCTCCCTTCTTATTCCTCCTCCTCCATTCTTTTTATATTGGTTGTTTTATTCTGTGTTCTTTCATGTTTCCTTTAACTGCTTTTAGTGGGTAGTTAATTTTATTTTTTGCCTTTAGTTAGTATTTGGTTGGTGTGCTTTCTTTGCTGTGATTTTATTTTCTCTTGGTGACATCTGTTTAGTCTTACGAGTGCTCCCGTCTAGAACAGTCCCTCTAAAATACCCTGTCGAGGTGGTTTGTGGGAGGCAAATTCCCTCAACTTTTGCTTGTCTGGGAATTGTTTAATCCCTTCTTCATATTTAAATGATAATCGTGCTGGATACAGTATCCTTGGTTCATGGCCCTTCTGTTTCTTTGCATTAAATATATCATGCCATTCTCTTCTGGCCTGTAAGGTTTCTGTTGAGAAGTCTGATGATAGCCTGATGGGTTTTCCTTTATAGGTGACCTTTTTCTCTCTAGCTGCCTTTAAAACTGTTTCCTTGTCCTTGATCTTTGCCATATTAATTATTATGTGTCTTGGTGTTGTTCTCCTTGGGTCCTTTCTGTTGGGAGTTCTGTGTATTTCCATGGTCTGTTCGATTATTTCCTCCCCATTTTTGGGGAAGTTTTCACCAATTATTTCTTCAAAGACACTTTCTATCCCTTCTTCTTCTGGTACCCCTATAATATGGATATTTTTCCTTTTGGATTGGTCACACATTTCTCTTAATATTGTTTCATTTTTGGAGATCCTTTTATCTCTCACTGTGTCAGCTTCTATGCGTTCCTGTTCTCTGGTTTCTATTCCATCAATGGCCTCTTGCATCTTATCCATTCTGCTTATAAATCCTTCCAGAGTTTGTTTCAGTTCTGTATTCTCCTTCTGGACATCTGTAATCTCCCTCCAGACTTCATCCCTTACCTCTCGTATATTTCTCTGCATTTCCATCAGCATGTTTAGAATTTTTATTTTGAATTCTTTTTCAGGAAGACTGATTTGGTCTGTCTCCTTCTCAGGTGTTGTCTCTGTTATCTTTGTCTGCCTGAAATTTTGCCTTTTCATGGTGATAGAGATAGTTTGCAGAGCTGGCATGAGTGACGGCTGGAAGAACTTCCCTTCTTGTTGGTTTGTGACCTTCCTTTCCTGGGAGAACAGCGACCTCTAGTGGCTTGTGCTGGGCAGCTGTGCGCAGACAGGGCTTCTGCTTCCTTCCCAGCTGCAATGAAGTTTATCTCCAGTGTTGTTGTGGGCATGGCCTGCCTTGGGGTGCTGCTCCGATATGGTGGAGCTGCATTGGAGGGGGAGCAGCCGGGAGTCTATTTATCTCTGTGAGGGGCCTCCGTGCTCCCTGCTGCCCAGGGGGTTAGAGTGCCGAGAGTTCCCCAGATTCCCTGCTCTGGACTAAGTGTCCCAGGATGCTTGTGTCCAGCTGTGGGGTCCCTGTCCCTTTAAGTTCCAAAAAGCAGTCGCTTTTCTTTGTCCCCAGGGCACTGGCTGCAGGGACCTGCTCACAGGTCTTACTGTCCTGTTTCCCTGTTATCCAGGACCCCACACATGCACTGTGTCTACACTCTGGTGTGGATGGCTAGGGCTGGCTATTTAGTGGTCCTGGTCTCCCTCTCCCTCCCCGCTCCTACTCCTCTCCTCCCACCCGGAGCTGGTGTGTGGGGCGCTCGGGTCCCACTGGGCCGGGGCTTGTATCTTACCCCCTTCGCAAGGTGCTGGGTTCTCACAGGTGTGGATGTGATCTGGATGTTTTCACGTGTCTTCTGGTCTCTCTTTTAGGAAGAGTTTTCTTTGTTGTATTTTCCAAAATATATGTGGTTTTGGGAGGAGATTTCCACTGCTCTACTCACACCGCCATCTTGGCTCTGCCTCTGTGTACAGTTTTTGTGTGAACACATGTTTTCAATCCTCTTGGATCTATACCTAGGAGTAGAATTGCTGGGTTGTATGGTTTTTCTATGTTGTATTTATATTTTAAGAACTCCTGTTGGCTGTTTGAGAGTAGGTTGTATGGGAGCAAGGGCAGAAGTAGGGAGTCTATCGCAACCATCCAAGAGCTAGAGATGGTAGTTTGGACCAGGGTAACGGCAGTGGCGGGGGCGAGAATTGATCAGATTCTAGATATACATTGAAGATAGAATGAAGAGGATTTGGTAACAGATTCTATTTATATTGTGAGAGAACAAGGAGGGTCAAGGATGATTCTTAAGATTTTTGACCTGAGAAATGAAAGAAGGGAGTTGCCATTTGATAAAATTGAGGGATGAACAAATACGGGGTAGGATTAAGGCTTTGGCTTTGGACTTGCTGTGTTCTATTCATCCAAGCAGAGGTGTCAGGGAGGCTGTTGGAAATATGTCTGTCATTTGAATGAGAGATAAATTTAGGAGTTATTAGTTTTTAGAGGATATTTAAAGCCATAAAACTAGATGAGGTCATTTAGGCATAATTCTAAATAGTGAAGAGAAGCAGTCCAAGGAATAATCCTAAACACAATCCAAAGATTAGAGGTCTAGGAGGGGAGAAGGAGTGGCCAGTGAGGTCAGAGGACCAGGAGAGTAGGGGGTCCTGGAAGCCAAGTGAAATTACTTGATATACTTGAAGAAGAATGATTTGTTTTTCCTTTCCTTGGTTTTCTCACAGCTTCCTTGAGGTAAGGGTCCCTGGACTCATGTCCTTCTCTTTAGAGATGACAACTGTTGTTTGGAATGCCTTTGGTCATCCTTCCTTAAGCTGAAAGAGAATTCTGGTCTTCTGAATGCTGTATTCTAAACATAGTGCTTATTTATATATATACTTTAAGCCCCACTGAGGGCATTTATTCAGGAATTCATTCCCAAATATTTGAGTGCCCACTCTATGCTACTTTCTCTTCTAGGCATTGGGAACATAGCAGTGAACAAGATATGTGGTCACTGATTTCATGGAACTTAGTCTAATGGAAGAGAAAGGCATTAAACAAATCATTTCTTTAAATTACTGAACAAATTAATTTGTCTAATAGACGTAAACAAATAATTACATATGTGATGACTACTACCAAGAAATCAGGAGTTTGAACTCCATCCCAACAGCAATGGAGAATCACAGAACAGTTTTAAAAGTATATTCAAGATTTTTACCTTAGAGACCGCTTAGGCTACCATTGTGAATGGATTGGAAGGAATTCTGACTCCTGGTGGGAGAGCGCACTTGCTTTACATATCAGCTCTTGGTTTTTATCCTAGTGTGCCATTTGAAGTGCCCAAGCTCAAAAGTGGAAAGAGTGCGCTGGAGGCTGAGAGTGAGAGTCTGGACAGCTACACAGCTGACTCAGATAGCCTGTCCAGGTGAGGCCCCCCACCCCCACCTAAACATACACACAGGTCCCTGCCCCTCTGATCAACCCAAGTTCCCATTTTGTTCTTCAGTGATAGGACACAGGGCTCCTAGGCCTTCAGTGTTCTGACTTCTGACCTCTGTAAGCCGAGTGAGTATTTTCTCTGACCTTGCCACAGGTCTTTCAGTAGCACTTCTACTGCTGGCTCTGAGCTTAGCCTTCTGGAGCGAGCAAACTTCCACAGGCTGCTCCACCTTGGAGGACTCTTCCTGGGCCGGCAGCTGCTGATGCTGCTGTCCCTGAGGAGTGGGAGTTTGGGGGTTTGTGTATGTGCAAAGTTGCTTGTCTGATCATCTGAATCCCTTCAAGGTAAATCAGATATGAAGTTTACCTTCTGGGTTGAGTTACTACAGTGACCCCAAGCCAGTGGCTCTCCTTTCATACATCTTGGGGAGAGGAGGTGATTTTGTTATAACTTCTGTATTTACCTCCAGGAGAGACTCTCTGGATAAATCGGGCCTCTTTCCAGAATGGAAGAAGATGTCTGCCCCCAAATCTCAAGTAGAAAAGGTAAGCTTTAGTTATTGGTTAGTCAGTCCCTCTCCGTCTCTGTTTCTCTCTCTGTCTCTGTCTCTCTTTCTCTCTTTCCCTTCTCAGGAAGAATTTAAATCAAGAATTCAACTAAACAATCTTTAGTTCATATTCACTTGGGAACCTTTTCTTAGATTTGCTTGAAATGTGAGATAATAGGTTTTGTACTACTTTATAGGATTCAATAAAATTCCTAAAATTAAATTAATCTTTTCTTTAACTTTGTCATAGTTTAGTGAAAAATCTAAGCTTCCTTCTTAAGGCTATTCTTCTACCTTCCCAACTGTCCTTTTCCATTTCATCGCCTTTATCCCTTCCTAGGACACTCAACCTGGGAATCAAAATGTGGTATCTGTTGATGAGGGCGAAATGATATTCAAGAAGAACACCAGAAAAATCCTCAGGCCTTCAGGTAGTGGATTTCCCTTCATGGTCATTTGCAATTGACATTCTCAGTACTTTTAATGGATTCTTGGTATGAAGAAGTTTATGTCTCTTTTGATTTGGGTTTTTGGTCTTCCGCTCAGAATATACTAAGTCTGTGATCGATCTTCGCCCAGAAGATGTGGGGCATGAAAGTGGCTGCTTGGGAGACAGAAGCAAATCGGTCCCAGGCCTCAGTGTGGATATAGTAAGTACCCTTGTATTTCACTTGGTCACTGTATGAAATTTTATACATCTAGAGTTGACTTTAGTATTGGATACTTAATTCTTTACGAAGAGGCAACATGAATCTTGATTCTTCTGAATTTCTAAAGTAAATCTGGTAGCTGAACTGCTTAAAGAAGGAGGCTGTCTTCACTGTCTCTCTTTTTTTTAATTAAAGTGTCATTAATATACAATCTTATGTTGGTTTCAAATGTACATCACAGTGGTTCAACAGTCCCCATGATCAACTTATATTGTGATTGCAAATTATTGCTTCACTGTCTCTTTTTATCTTCTAATACATTGCTTGATACATGTTTGGGGGCTCAAATAAATACCTGTTTTGATTAAAATGTAAAGGGATGGCTGGGTTGGGGCAGTTAAATGGGAAACAGATATTCTTATCTTACTCTTTTGAGATTTGAGAAGGATAGTTGGAATATAGGTTGGAAGACTGAAATGGGAAGACATGGAAATAAGGGTATGTGCATACGTGATACCTCATTGCTTAACAACAATTATGTCTCCTACTAAAGGGAAGATATTATTTGAATTTTTTCTTATTTTTATTAACTCTGGGTCCATATTTGTTGTCCCAGGGAGAGGAAGAGGAAGAAGAAGAAGACATTGACCACCTGGTAAATTTGCATCGCCAGAAGCTAGCCAGAAGCAGCATGCGAAGTGGCTCATCCATGGTAAATTCTTAGTCCTGTGGCTGTAGACATGTTGGGGTACCAGGGAGGAAGGAAGTGCCTTCCTAGACCAGAGTCAGGATCTAGAGAAGTCATCCTAGCCACTCTTTCCAGGTAAGTAAGGTGCATTTGTTTGTATCCTCAATTTAGACCATAGCTGCTTACTGAACAGCTAAGTAATTTCCTCAGCCTCTGCCCCAGAGCTTCTTACACAAGGTAATTCGGGCTAGCCATGTGCTTCATGACAGCTTTGTGAACAGTAACCTGTAACTTCTCCCCTAAAGAGGTGCTCAGGCCATGAAGTGAGCCACATGAGATTTCTTCATTATAGCCCTATCCAAAATCACATTCAAGGGTGTTGAGTGGCATGAGAAGGGTCCTGGCAGGGTTAATTGACGTCAGGGTATGATTAAGGAGCAACAATGCCAATCAGAATCATGAAGTAAAGGACATTTAAGAATCAGGGCCTCATTCTGTTTTAAGTATGAAGACTGATGTTTAATGAAACAGAGTCAGGAACCTGGGTGATTAGAGTTTGTTTTTGCTCATGCACAGGATGAGTGATGGGCTTGCAGAGCTGATATTACCTGAGAAGAAGATATCTTTTCACCTCTGGTGGGATTTTCCCTCCAATTCTGGTACAAGTCACTTCTCTCTAGGGTCTTGATAGGGATAAGGTGGATAAAAGAAACCCACAGGTAGTTAGGCATTCTGTTTTAGTTAGTAAATGATCCCATCTAGCCAACGTTTTGGCATATATAACATACCAAAATGGGTTTAGAGCACCATACCTCTCTCTACTCCTTGCCCACTTCCTGGGTCAGGTGAAAATGAACAATAAAATATGTCAAAAAAAAAGAGGGGAAGAAGAGAAGCTGAGGGCCTAGGTGAGCCATGAACTGATTTATGAACCTGAACAATTGTGAGAGTGCTACTCGCTCTTACACTCTGGGTACAAGTCCTCTGGCAGTGCTGGCTTGTTGCAGGAGCTTCTGAAACTTGTGTCCAGTGGCTGTGGCCTTACCAGGAGGGAAGGCGTGGGCACTGTGGGAGGGGAGTATGCTTTCATCCTATGTTTGTGGGTGCTTTATCTTCAGAGTACAATTGGCAGCATGATGAGCATCTATAGTGAAGCTGGCGATTTCGGTAACATCTTTGTGACTGGCAAGATAGCCTTTTCCCTGAAGTATGAGCAGCAAGCACAGACTCTGGCCATCCACGTGAAGGAGTGCCACCAGCTGGCCTATGCTGATGAAGCCAAGAAACGCTCTAACCCGTGAGTGCTTCTGGAATTTGACAGCTGCTCTGAGATAAGAGCTCAGACTCTGGCATTTCACTGGGTACTCTTGAACTGAGGTCATCACTTCCTGGGCAGACAGGGAGGTGTGATTAGGGGAGAGTGGTTAGGGGAGATGTGGGAAAGGGGCCGGGATTGGGAAAATACAGAAATGGCATGTCTGAGAGGGCCTGATGCAACGTTTTCATTTTGTCACAGCATGTGTTTATGGGGAACAGGAAAGTGAAGAACGGGCTTGAGAAAAGATGGTGAATTACTCAGTGCTCTCCTTGGTTTCTAGATATGTGAAGACTTACCTTTTGCCTGACAAGTCCCGCCAAGGAAAAAGAAAAACCAGCATCAAGCGGGACACCATCAAACCACTATATGATGAAATCCTTCGAGTAAGTATCTGGACCCTGAAGGTAGGAACACTTGCTTTGTCTTGTGTGCTAAACTGTTGCTATTCCTCTGCTACATGGGTCATTGACCTCGTTTTTCATGGCTGTGTCTGTCTGAGGATACACTATGAGTGTCTGTACGCATCCCAGCCTCCCAGAGAAGTTATTGCTTTCTTATTGCTTTCTTATTGCTCTGAAGTTGGAGATTTACATGGCCACAAATCTCATTTGGAAATGTCATTTGGGATCAGGAGTCTTTGTGGCAGGCCTTTTCAAATATCCCAGTGTTCTCTCACCCACTCTAGGCAAAAGTAATTTTCCAGGTCCTTCCATGTTTGTGAAATGTGGTAATGAGGCTTTGAGTGAGGAAACTCAAAGTGCTGAGGGACTAATATAATTTGATATTCAGCCCTATGGACTTTGGGTATGGTTGTTTGGATTTTGGAATAATGTTTTTTGGAGTTAACAACAAACAAATTATCTTGTACTTCTCCTTTTCTTTCACAGTATGAGATCCCAGAATCTCTCCTGGCCCAGAGGACTTTGCAGTTCTCAGTTTGGCATCATGGCCGTTTTGGCAGAAACACTTTCCTTGGAGAAGCAGAGGTCCAGATGGATTCCTGGACGCTTGATAAGAAACTAGATCATTGCCTTCCTTTACATGGAAAGGTAGTGGCTTTAACAATTTACAGTTTGGATCTGAGGGAGAATTGTCTGCAGTGACCTCTGCTGGTACATGCTGGTAGTGTCTTTGAATATAGTCTGCATTCTAGAAGAAACCCCTGCTGGGGTTTTTGAGTTGGACAGTAATTTTAGATGCGTTTGTATGTCAAGTGTGAGTAATCTCTTCTGTGTAGGCCAGGCAAAGGATGAAGCCATGGTTTTCCTTTGAAAAGTCTGTTATATGTGTGCCAAGCGTTGCCCCCTAACTTTCCAGTGTATCGGCGTATCCTAACATCCTACCTTGCACCTCTCTCCAAACTAGCCTTTTGGGCATATCTTAATCTACACTCCTTTCTTAAGCTAACCTTTCACTAAAGAAGTGGTAAGTAGAAATTCATGGAGTTCCAGGTGCTGTGCTCTTGGTCATACAAGCCAGAGAAATTTTACTTTGGAGGTGGCATTTCGGGTGAGAGTGTAGCAGTGTGCATTATAGTGCCTGGGATTTGTGGGCACACCTGGATTTGAATTCTGGTTCTGTTATTTGCCAGCTGGGTAAGTCATCTATCTGATAAAATAACTTAGCTAAGTGACCTAATTTATGTGAGCCTCAATTTCTTTGTCTATAAAATGGAGATAATAATATTCCTTTTTTTGCAAGATTGTATAAAAGGTACCTATCGGTGCCTGGCACATAATGGGCATTCAGTAGGTTACTGTCATTCTGGTTATGATGAAGTTGCCAAAGGAGAGTTAGGACTTCTTGATTATCAGAACGGTTCAATGGCAAGGTTCTGCCATAAAATTTTTTTACACTAGCACTTTAGGTGCTTAAACAGTACATGATGCTAGAATATCTTTGGAAAGACAGATGAGAAACTAGTACTAGTGGCTGCCTCTAGGAAGAGAGACTGAGGTGGGAGGACGATTTAGTTCTCTCTATGTGCCCTTTTATACACAGTGCATGAACTTTTTACCATGTCACATGTATTGCTTATTGGGAAAATTAAGAATAAAAGGATTTATATGCACATGGTTCAAAATTAAAACACATAGAAATCTAGAAAAAGAAAAGTGGATTCCATTTCCTAGGAATAACATCATTGTGAACTACTTGGATATCTTTATAGCAATTTTGTATTAAGCAGCATGGATATACACATATGGAATTACATTTTGTCATTTTTATACAAATATGCTTATATGAACCTGATTGTGTATATATATCTTGATTTGTTATTAACAGTTTATCATGCACATCTTTCTATGCCATCACTTACAAATCTTTGTCATTTTAATAGCTGTATAGAATTCTCTTGTGTGTCTGTATTATAATTTACATACTATTTCCCACTATTTCCCACTTTTAAATTGTTGGTTTTTCTCTGCTAAAACTATGCTGTAATATATCTTGGCCTTCTTGTGTGAACATAACTGTAGTAGAAATTTCAGGTGGTGGAATTACTGAGTCAAAGAAAATATACACTCAATATTTTGATAGCTACTGCCCTCCAAAAAAAAGTAACCAAATTAAATCTGTCCCTTTAAATACTAATAAGAACAGGAAAGTAATTACCACTGAACTATAGCATATTATTATGAATTTAGAATTTCTTAAGCATTTAATACTCAAGTCATTCTCTCGGGGCACTATAGTTGATATAATTATATTGGAAATGTCACTGTAACCCATCATGAACTTCTGCCAATAAAAATAGCTTACATCAAAAGAAAAATCTGCATTAAAATGGAGATACTTGCTCTTTGCAATTATATTGAGCCAGAATGAAAATATGCTACTGAAACAAATATGTCAATTTCTAGCTAAAGCTGAACTCCAAATTTTAAGGGTCCACTGAAGTTCACAATCTAGAAATTAATCAGTTGTGTAGACATTTTATAAACAACAAAAAGGTCAGTCCAGCATTACATAAATACTTTAACTTAAGATAGTCTGCATTTATTGTTTTTGCTTTTTCATTTTTTGCCCTGGTAATCTATTTGCTCCCATTTAGTTTTTTCTTCCAGCATCCACCTTCCTAATATTTTGTGTCTCTCTCATATACTAAATTTTATGCATTCTAGGAATGTGATACATATTCTCAAACCAATGGGGAGTATGTCTTTCTGGCATCAGTATGCTCAGCGGTGAGAACTTACGTTAGAGAAGTGCCAGTGAACACAGGCAGGTGGAAAGGTGCCTCTAGGATGTACCAGCTCATGCTCTGGATACCTAAGCATGAACAACAGAGCCATGTTCTCAAGAGAGATCCAATAGAGTGAAGCAGTTCTGCTACCCACAGCCAAAGGGGGTACTCCACTTGCTGCTCATCCCAGACATTCATTCAGTAAATATTTGTAGAGCACCTATTATGTGCTGGTACTTTGATAAGTGTCAGGCATACTAACATGTACAAAAATAGACTGGATTCCTGCCCTTCTAACATTTAGGTTCTAGTGATAGGGACAATCACAGATCAAAAGTAATGTATGTAAGTGTAAAATTAAAAATTGTGCCATATTCAAATCCTGGTAGCAGACTTCCACCTCACCTTCAAACCTTTATAAGCTCTCTTTTAAAGAATACTTCTCGTCTTTGAAAATCATCAAAGTCATACATACCATTCTCCTTAAAAAGACACTATAGATATATATGGGGTAAAATGCAAAAGTCCTCTTTCCTCTCCATATTTTGCTCCCCTCCTTAGAAGAAATAATTGTTAAGTTTGTATCCTTCTAGATTTTTCTGTGCAGTGTAATATTATGGTTAAAAGCGTGGACTCTTGAACCAGTCTGACTGAATTTCAAATCTGCCTCTGTCAATTACTGTGTGGCACTTGGCAAGTTACTTAACCTCTCTGTTCCTCTGTTTCATAATCTGTAAAATGGGGATAATAGTACCTATCTCATAGGGACTATCTTGAGGATTAAACAAAATGACATGCTTTAAGTATTTATAATAGTACCTGGCACATAGTAAGTACTATGTAATTGATAATGATGATAATCATTATTTACATACATTTATATTCACATGTACATATATGAATATATTTTAATACAAGTGGCATATTTTTTCTCTGTCTTGTTTTGTTGACTTAACAGTATGTCTTGGGTATCTTTCTATGCCAACAGGTAGAGATTTTCTGCATTCTTTTTGGTGACTGCATGTCATATGCCATATGAGGACATTAAAATCACTCATTTAGCCTTTGCTGTATTGATTAACATTTGTTCCCACTTTTTATCTGTTACTAACAGTGCTGGCAGCAAGATTCATTGTCATAGTGTCAGACCTTGTGATTTTGTGTGGCAGCCCTGCTAGCAGACCTTTGGGGGTTTTGGAATCTAGTAACTGTATCCCCCAAATAGCAAAATAGTGGACAATGCAGAGGTCTCTGTTGGCTCTGCTGCTCCTCTTTCTGAAGAGACTGCCTTAGAAACCTGGGGCTGCCCTGATCTAGGGACCCCGGCTTGTCTTCAGAAGGAGAAGGGTCTTCTTATGCCATGAAGCTGTCTGTGGGGGTAAGTTTAGAATCTCCTCAGCAAGAGGTCCCTAAAGCTCCCAAGAAGCCCCGCATGACCTGTCGGCTTTCCCTGTGTTTCAGATCAGTGCTGAGTCCCCGACTGGCTTGCCATCACACAAAGGCGAGTTGGTGGTTTCACTGAAATACATCCCAGCCTCCAAGCTCCCTGTTGGAGGTGACCGGAAGAAGAGTGAGTTTTCTTTGGGATTCTGGTAGCTCTTAGTCTTCTGCACAGGGTGTGTGTGGCAATGCTGACTAGTGGCTAGAGCTGCTGGGGAGACCAGATTGAGACGCACCCTGGGTCATCTCCTAGGGAAGATTCCTTTAGTAAATTTAAAAACACATTTCTGTGTTTTTCAACCTTAGGGTTGACATTCTAGTTTTTTTTTTCAGGCCTTTAAACTTGGTCTTGCTTCACCTGTGGCAAGCTATTAAGAGGGCAGAACAGAAACTTTAGGGCTGAAAAAGGGTGATTGAAAAGAGTAGTGAAGTTTGAGGGACAGGAAGTTAAAGGTTGAGAAAGAGTAAATCAACACACAAGACACTGTGCTAGTGACTATGAATATGTAGGTGAATAAGACATGATTTTGCCCTCCCCTGAAGAGCTTTGTTTAGCAAGAAAGACAGTCACCAGCTGAAAGAACAGACATACAGATACAGGACTGATGAATTCTGTCTGGTTACATTTGGGAGAGCTTTAAAGAGGAAGTAATAATAAACCTGGACTTAATACTTGACCAGGCAGAAAAGGAAGAGGATGAGATGAGAAGAGCATTTCCAGAAGAGGGGATAGCATGAGCAAAGGCTTTTTAAAAGGCATATTAAATGTGGAGATGTATGTGAGTGTGAAGGAGTGAACTCCTTATTTCAGTGGAGTTCTAGTATGTCTATGTGGGAGCAGGGCTGAAATTGTTAATGAGGCCCAAGCCCCACTGAAAAGGGCCTTGAACATGATGGTAAGGAGTTGAACTTGATCCCCTGGCAATGGGATTCCAAAGTTCTTAAAACAATACCTGAAGCAAGGTATAATCTGCAGGATTTGGGGAATCAAGAAGGGTGTGCAGAATGACTAGAGAAGAGAGGCAAGGATAGACTCATAGGGAACAGCAACATTTTTAAGGATGAGGAGAGGAAGCAAGCTCGTAAGGTAGAGGGTTATCAGGAGAGAACAATGCCAAGAGAGAACTTGAAAAAGAAGGGAGTGGGGGTTGTCAAGTCCCCTAGTCTGTCGGGACTGAGAACATGCAGCTCATTGGTATGAAATTACATTTTCAGTAGGTTAAGAGGAAGAAGAAGCTAAATTTCATTAGAAGTTAGGCTGAGTGAATGAGGCAGAGAAGTAGAGGTGGTGAGTGTGACCTCTTTTTTCCAGGATCATTGATGGTAAAAGAAAGGAGAGACATGGGAGATAGATTGAAAAGGGGCTAAGGTTGAAGGGAGATTTTCTTTTTCAAGGATTTTTTAAAAGAAGAGGTGAGATGAGCATATATTTAAAGTGAAGGGATTGGACTAGTAGAAAAAGATATCAAAAATGGGAGGTGGGGGTTGAAATTGATGATGCCTGATGAGTCCTGTGAAGTGGGGATGGGATCAAGAACACAAGTGGAGGAGTCCCCTTTTTTAAAAGTCTTTCAATAAATACTAGGCAACTTTATTTCTCTAAGCCTAAGTTTTCTCATCTATAAAAAGAGGACAATAATATGTATCTCATTGGGTTGCTTTGAGAATTAAATGGTTAACTAAACTGGCACATAGCCAGTAGTTTTCAATAAGTATTTGTTGCTCCTGTTGATATTGAGCACCTGTTGCTTCCTGTGAGGTACTGTGTTAGGTACTAAGGCTGCAAGTCAGGTGTGACGTGGTTGTCACAGAGCTTTTTGCCTTCAGGAGCAAGGAATGCAAGCAGCACCATGTAGCTAAAGCTCATGAGAAATCTGGAGGTGTAGGGCTCACTTGCCATGGCTAACATCCCTTACAGGTAAAGGTGGGGAAGGGGGAGAGCTCCAGGTGTGGATCAAAGAAGCCAAGAACCTGACGGCTGCCAAATCAGGAGGGACTTCAGACAGCTTTGTCAAGGGGTGAGTCCCTGGACCGGCATCCAACTCGCCAGTTTCAGGACGAGAGAGCAAACAGAGGAACCCAGGTTAACCCTTCTCGGCAGGTGTTACTGTTGTCCGTCCTACCGCCTCTAGCAACCAGCTTTGTGCCTGAAAGTAGGTAATGGGAAAGCCTCCGCTACCACCTTTGTGCTGGTCTGAGCTCAGTTTGGACTGGGCTGCAATACTGATTTCCACAGAGGGAGGTGATAGACAGATAGGTCTGACTTTTCCTTTGTTATGAACTTTATGCTCCTAATTAATCCTGTCAAGATTTTGGAACTCAGGACTTTGTTCCCGACAATATTTAGGCAATGTCAGCTTTCCCAAATACAGATCACCCCGCTGACCAGGCAAATCATGTTTGCCTATGCACATAGTCACTACCATTGCTTTTATGTGGAGAAGACCTTGCTTAATAGATATGCAACCAAATATTAAAAACCTGTTTTTCATGGAGTATAGACAACCGCTCACTAATAACATTAATTTTCTTCCCAGGTTAAAGTCATTGAATCAGGTGAATGATCTAGTGGAGGTGGTAGGAACTCTGTTTTAGAAGATGCAAAGGAGGGAGTGTATGTACCAGGATCTGAGTGTTGAGTCTCCTTCCTGGGCTAGGCCTGTGGTAGGGGAAGGGGGATTTTAGATAGATATTGCCAGCTTTGAGTGGGTTGTTGATTACTCTCTGCCGTCTGCCAGATACCTCCTTCCTATGAGGAGCAAGGCCAGTAAGCGTAAAACTCCTGTGATGAAGAAGACTCTGAATCCCCACTACAACCATACATTTGTCTACAATGGTGTGAAGCTGGAAGACCTACAACACATGTGCCTGGAACTGACTGTGTGGGACCGGGAGCCCCTGGCCAGCAATGACTTCCTGGGAGGGGTCAGGCTGGGTGTTGGCACTGGTGAGAGCCTCTCCTTCATCCTCACTGTCTTCAAGGCCTCTTGTGTATTTCACTCCAAGGTACCCCACCCTCTCCCTACAAAGCTTCTCTGTGACAAGAGTTGTCTTCTTTCCTTTCGGTTAACATTCAACCATTATTTACTGAGTGCCTACCGTGTGCAGGCCTAGGGAAAGGCTGAGCACATGTACGGTTATATGTACAGATAAAAGTGACTTTGATTGCCAGGAACGCCATCATCTTCTGAACAAAAAAAAATCGAAAACCTACCTGTATCTGTACCTATAATTTGCATCATTCATCCTGTTGTAATGAGAGAAGGGCCCTTTTTAGCAAAGGCAAAGCTCTTTGCAAGTGTTCTAGATCACACCCTCACCTTCTCAGTGACCTCACTTCTGGAATCTCCTCTCTCTGTCTGATCAGTTTCATTCTATCTCCCTACTTGAGGTGAAAACAGATGTGCTCTGGTATTTCCACTCTCAAGAAACAGAAATAAACCTCTTAACCCCACATCCCCCTGCTAATTCCTTCAAAAGAATTGTCGCCACTTCCTCACCTCTCCTTTTTCCCTCAGTTCACTGTGAGCTGGCTTCTGCCCTACCGCTTCACTGAGCAATTGGTCATGCCAAAGTGTTGTTTTCATCGTGCTAGAATTTTCATGCTATTTAACATAGCTGATCACTCCCCTTTTCTGGAAATAATTAGCCTCTATTGACGCTACACTTTTCTTTGTGTGTTCCTCATTTGCTCCCCAGACTCTAAATACTGGTGTTTCTCAAGGCTTAGTCTTGAATCCTCTTTTATCTCTCTCAAGTCTCTGCATTCCTGTGGCCTTAAATACTACTTGTGTATTCATAATTCATACGAATCATTTAACACAAAGCATCTTGGATGATAATTTTATAAATCTAAGCCAGTGCTTGTCAGTCCCCTGCTGAAAACTCACCAGTGGCTTCCTGCTGCACTTAGAAGGCAGTCCAAAGTTCTTACCAGACCTACAGGCCCCTGTATAAGCTAGGCCCACGGTTTCTTTATGTTCCAGCCTATATGACTTTCCTGCTTGCTCACTGTGCTCCAACTGCAGTGACTTTCTTTCTGCTCCCCAAACACACCAAGCTCATTCCAGCTTCATAACCTTTGAAGTTATTTTTCCCTCTGTGTGGAAAGTCTGGACGCTTCCCATCTTTCAGATCATGACTCAAATGTCTCCTTCTCAGAGAGACCCTCAGACCACTCCATCTATAGGAGGCGCTGATGTATTATGCTAAGTAAAATAAGTCAGAGAAAGACAAACACCATATGATTTCACTTGTATGTGGAATCTAAAAAACAAAACAAATAAAACAGAAATAGACTTAAAGACACAGAGAATAGACTGGTGGTTGCTGTAGAGGAGAATGGTGAGTGAACTAGGTGAAGGGGAAAAAAACAAAGTGTTTGATATCTTGATCTGGGCAATGGTTACCTGAGTGAATATACCTATCAAACTTCATTGATCTGTACCTAAGATTTGTGCATTTAATGTACCTCAACTTAAAAAAAGGTGAAGTTGTTTTGAGGCACAAAAATTAAAAGAAATAAAGAAAGGAAGGAAGGAAGGAAGGAAGGAGGCCCTGATTGAGGGACTACAAATCACCCTGTTTATTTACTTCATGATATTTACCTCACTACCTGAAGTACTCTTTGATTTACTTGTATATTTTCTGTCTTCCCTATTCAAATATGAGCTGCCTGTGAGCAGGATTCTTTCTTCACTTATTACTGTATCTCCAGAGCCTAGAAAAGTACCTGGTACATAGTAGGCACTCAGTAAATGTTTGTTGAATGAATGAACATACAGGAGAATAGGAACAAGGCCATTTATAATATGAATGTCAGGCCTGGAGTCTACAGTTGGAGAAAAAGGTGATCAGCTGTTGCTGCTTCCTTTTTTTTCTTTTCCCAATTTTAAGTCAAGTTGACAATCACAGCAAGACGGTAGCTCTGGAATGATGTTTCAGACCCTAGAGCTCTATAAGAGCCTCAGGATTAGAGGTCTTGAGCTACCACGTGCTATTTGGAGTCTCATTTCATCAACCTGAAGCCTCTTGATAGTGTCTCAGGAGCCCAGAGATAACTGTGCAGGATCCACAAGGAGGCATTCCCAGTAGACTGCTGTCCCCATCAACCCATCTTCTCAGCACACTGTATTTTATGGGGTCGCTACCCTTGTTGTATAACCCATCTTTCCTGGTGGGCTAAGGAGTGGTTCCCTGTTCAGCATCCTCTGGTGTTTCTCCTCAGGGATCAGTAATGGGGAAGTGGTGGACTGGATGGACTCGACTGGGGAAGAAGTGAGCCTGTGGCAGAAGATGCGACAGTACCCAGGGTCTTGGGCAGAAGGGACTCTGCAGCTCCGTTCCTCAATGGCCAAGCAGAATCTGGGCTTATGAGTTCCTGTCCTCCCCTGCAGGTGCAGCCCTGTCCAGGGCAAGTTAGAGGAGGCAAAGAAACCAAGAGCAAAAATTTATAATTTAATGTGTGTGTGTGTGTGTGTATGTGTGTATGTTATGTATGTGTGTGTATAAACATGTATTTCTACAAATCTTATTATGCTTGAGTGATGCAGATGTGTTTCCCTTTTAAAAGCAGGCTCAATAATAAGAGTCTTTTCAAAATGTTTTTGTGTATGCATAATCTAGTATACTTTCAGAGTCCATTCTTTCTATATCTTTAGGAGGTTTAATTAACTTACAGATCTTTTAAAACAGCGTTTTATCTCCTGCCTTGCTATCTTTGTTCCTACTTCCTCTGGAAGCCATGGCTACCTTTGACATTCATACCAGTCTATGTTTCAAGGTGTGCCTGGTCTGAAGCCTAGGCTCTAGGAAGCATGGTTGGGTTACTAAAGACAGGAGAAGATAGGGGAGAGGTGAGTAGGTCTTCTTTCTCTCCAGTTTATGCTTTTAACTCCATTTCTACCTTGATAAATGGCTTTTAACCCTTCTTGTGTTTAAGCACTTTCCACCTGGTTTGGTTCTATTGGTTTTCTTTGAAATGCTAAGAAAATTCTTAAGTTCCTTTTAGTTCTAGACACCTTCACCAGACCTTGGGGCCCCCTTAAAATGGAGCTGCTTTAGAAAAGCACTTGAATTCAATAATGGCCTTTCAACTGAGTCATGGACATGCCCAGTGATATAGCTTGTCAGTAGTCCCAGAGGACCAATGACTGAGGGTGAAGCACCTCCCAGCCCGATCGGAATTCTTTGCATTTTAAATAGATACAGTGCTTGTTGGAAAGCCTCCGCGTTCCTCTAATGAAAGCAGAGAGAAACGTCTTCACTCTCCTCTTTCTTAGTGTTTGCATCCGTGGGGTGTTATTACACAGAATATGGTCTACATACCATTAGGTCAGCCAGAATAGTCAAGTACTGTCTCAGCTGATCTGGTGTCTCTGGACACTGTTAGCGCTCCAGGAAAGTATATTTAGAGACCCTCTCAGTTATTCTGACTTCCTTCTTGAAGTGGTTTCAGTTCCTGTTTTTTCTGTTGTTTCCTGAACTTGACCAAGATATAGCATGGGTGCATTGTGGTAAGACCTTTCTAAGAAGGGTTTAATGACCTCAGGCTCATTTTCTGAAACTCACTGTTCCAAATGGACCTTTTTATTATTCCAAGTGTGTCTATGCAAAGTGGCTTGTGAAAGGAGTCTGTACTGAAGAAGAAATCCCTTGCAGTACAGTCAGCTGCTGGCTGACTTTACTATAAGGCCACTGGATTGATGGCAGTTAAGATGGTTTCTCTTATTTGCATGAAATGAATGGAGGAGTGTTTTTAAAAGGTTGACTTGATGCAGACTGATATTGTAATGAAGGCATAACTTGGGATCTTGAGCTGTAAATTGCTCCTTTGGTCTCCACCCCCTGAAATGTATATGAGTGAGCTTCAATAAAGTTTTCTCACTTGTCAAGTGTTTGCATTTGTTAGTTCTCTATATGGATGCTTTTGTCTTTGATGTCCTGACTTAACAGCTGTTGCTTTTCACTTGGCTGGAAGGCTAAGAACCAAAGCAACAAGTGCCCTCCCCAGACCATGATGTGCTGATTTGAAGAAATTTCCCTTTCCCTATATTGCTGTCTGATAGCTCTGCTGATCTCTGATCCATCGACCTTTGTGTTTTGTATCTAGGGAGAGAACTGAGACTGCATATTAAAACCGGTGCCACTTTTCTTTCTCTCAAGTAACAAAGGAACTCCTTCTTTAGCTTTGTAGTCATCCCCCAAACTGTGCATGCTGGAGGAAAAAGGGGAGAAAGGCTGGTGGGGAGGACATTGCTCACTGTGCATGTTTCTTCCTGGATCCTTCAATGTCTCTAAGACCTACGGCCTTTTTCTTTCACTCCTATGACCATTGTTTAGTTTTGAGAGAAATAGCACAGATGCTAAGTAACCCATCTTGGAAATAAGGCTCTGGGTTTCTAGGTAGAGCCCAAGTGATTCTTGACCTCTTGTGCAAAAGGACATTCATACATGGAGAGGGCTTAAAGATGGTGGCATGAGAAGTGAGACAGAGATTTCCTCCTAAAACCACCTATAATATGAAAATATAATTAATACAATGAATCCTGAAAGAGTGACTGGAAAGAAGACTGCGACAAACTGCCTACATCTGGGGTAAACCGAAGACCTCAGGAAAAAGGCAAAGTACAAAGCCGTGATCTGACGGGACCTAAGCCCTTCACCCACCCCAGCTCACTCGCAGAAGGAAGAGAAACAAAGTGGGGAGGCGGTAGAAGCCTAGGACTGCTGAACACCCAGCCCTGGAGATCTGCTTCAGGAGCACAAATCCACATTACATTGTGCCCTGGAGATTAGTGGGGTTGGAAAGCAAAGACAGGTGGAATACTCAGAGAGATTGAGATTCCTGCCACTTGTGGAGAAAAGGTACCCACAACCAGCTGTTCTGGGACAAAATAAAGGCAAGTACTTTGAAAGACTTCCCAATAGTGAGAGGGGTGCTAAAGGGGCAAGAATTACATAGAGCTTGCTGCTCAGGAGAAAGAACAGTTGGACAAAATCATCCCAGTACACTCAGCCCAGCAAGGTTGGGAACTCTCAGGAGCTTTAGGTGCTTCATCCCCCAGCTGGCAATGCATGCAGAGGCTCCCCACCATAATACACAGCCTGCTGCTCCTACCTCCTGGCTGTCCCCACCACTGCACCAGGTCAGTCATAGGGGAGCTCTGCCTACAGCAGCTACAGGGGTGTAATGCAGAGGCTCCTCCCTGCATGCTTGGTCCACTGGCCTTGGCACTGGAGGGAGGCACTACAGCCAGGAATAAGGAACGAGCTCTTTTCTCTTGACAGGCACCAGCGCTGCTCACTGGTGATCCTCGCCATCACTCTGGGTGCTGAGCAGCTTCTACTGCCTACATACTAGGTCACAAAAAGAGCCTCAATAAATTAAAAAAGATTGAAATTGTACCAACCAGCTTCTCAGACCACAAAGGCATGAAACTAGAAACAAATTATGCAAAGAAAACAAAAAAGCCCACAAACACCTGGAGGCTTAACAACATGTTCCTAAATAATCAGTGGATCAGTGAACAAATAAAAACAGAGATTAAGCAATATATGGAGACAAATGAAAACAATAACTCAACACCTCAAAATCTGTGGGATGCAGCGAAGGCTGTGCTAAGAGGAAAGTCCATTGCAATACAGGCATACCTGAAGAAAGAACAATCCCAAGTGAACAGTCTAAACTCACAATGAAACTAGAAAAAGAACAAAGGAGGCCCAAAGTCAGTAGAAGGAGGGACATAATAAAGGTCAGAGCAGAAATAAATAAAATCAAGAAGAATAAAACAATAGAAAGAATCAATGAAAGGAGGAGCTGGTTCTTCAAGAAAATAAACAAAATAGATAAACCCCTAGCCAGACTTACCAAGAAAAAAAGAGAGTCTGCAAACATAAATAGAATCAGAAATGAGAAAGGAAACATCATTATGGACACCATTGATACACAAAAAATTATTAGAGAATACTATGAAAAATTATATGCAAACAAATTTGATAACCTAGAAGAAATGACAACTTTCTAGAGAAATACAACCTTCCAAGGCTGACCCAGGAAGAAACAAAATCTGAACAGACCAATTACCTGCAAAGAAATTGAATTGGTAATAAAAAAAATACCTAAGAACAAAATCCCTGGACCAGATGGCTTCACCCGCTGAATCATATCAAACATTTAATGAAGACCTTATACCCATTCTCCTTAAACTTTTCCAAAGAGTAGAAGAGGTAATACTTCCAAACTCATTCTATGAGGCCAGTATCACTCTAAAATGAAAACCAGTCAAAGACACCACAAGAAAAGAAAATTACAGACCAATATCCCTGATGAAAATAGAAGCAAAAATACTCAACAAAATATTAGCAAACTGAATTAAAAAATACATCAAAAGGATCATCCATCATGATCAAGTGGGATTTATTTCAGGGATGCAAGTATGGTACAATATTAAAAAATCCATCAATATCGTGCACCACATCAACAAAAAGAAGGTCAAAAAATAACATGATCATCGCCAAAGAAGCTGAAAAATTCATATGGAACCACAAAAGACCCCAAATAGCCAAAGCAATCCTGGGAAGGAAAAACAAAGCTGGGGGGATTATGTTCCCCAACTTCAAGCTCTACTACAAAACCACAGTAATCAAGACAGTTTGGTACTGGCATAAACACAGGCCTATAGATCAATGGAATAGAATAGAGAGCCTAGATATAAACCCAAGTATATATGGTCAATTAATATATTATAAAGGAGCAATGGGGAAATGACAGCCTCTTCAACAGCTGGTGTTGGCAAAACTGGACAGCTACATGTAAGAGAATGAAACTGGATCATTGTCTAACTCCAAACACAAAAGTAAACTTGAAATGGAGCAAAGACCTGAATGTAAGTCATAAAACCATAAAACTCTTAGAAGAAAACATAGGCAAAAATTTAAACGTGAGCAACTTTTTTCTGAACACATCTCGGGGAAGGGAACAAAATAAAAAATGAACAAATGAGACTACATCAAATAAAAAGCTTCTGTACAGCAAAGGACACCATCAGTAGAACAAAAAGGCATCCTATTGTATGGGAGAATATACTCATAAATGACGTATCTGACAAGGGGTTAACATCCAAAATATATTAGGAACTCACCTCAACACCCAAAAAGCAAACAACCTGAATAAAAAGTGGGCAGAGGATATGAACAGACACTTCCAAAGAAGAAATTCAGATGGCCAACAGGTACATGAAAAGATGCTCCACGTTGCTAATTATCAGGCAAATGCTAATTAGAACCACAATGAGATATCACCTCACACCAGTTAGGATGGCCAACATAGAAAAGACTAGGAACAACAAATGCTGGTGAGGATATGAAGAAAGGGAAACCCTCCTACACTGTTGGTGGGAATGTAAATTAGTTCAACCATTGTGGAAAGCAAATGGAGGTTCCTCAAAAACATTAAAAATAGAAATACCATTTGAGTGAGCAATTCCTCTCCTAGGAATTTACCCAAAGAAAACAAGATCCCAGATTCAAAAAGACATATGCACCCCTATGTTTATTGCATCACTATTTACAATAGTGAACATATGGAAGCAATTCAGCCATAAGAGGAAAACAAATCCTACCACTTGCAACAACATGGGTGAAACTGAATGGTATTTGCTCAGTGAAATAAGCCAGGTGGAGAAAGAGAAGTACCAAATGATTTCCCTCATTTGTGGAGTATAACTACCAAGCAAAACTGAAGGAACAAAACAGCAGCAGACTCACAGACTCCAAGAAGGGACTAGCAGTTACGAAAGGGGAGGGGTGGGGAAGGATGGATGGGGAGGGAGGGAGAAGGGGATTGAGGGGCATTATGACTGGCACACATGGTGTGGGGGCATCACAGGGAAGATAGTGTGTGAGAGAAGACAAGTAGTAACTCTGTGGCATCTTGCTATGCTGTTAGTGACTGTGGTGGGGTGTGGGGGTACTTGATAATATGGGTGAATGTAGTAATTACAATGTTGCTTATGTGAAATCTTCATAAGATTGTATATCAATGATGTCTTAATAAAAAAATAAAATAGAATAAGGACATTCATACATATTGAATAAATTTTGCATACAAGGCTTTTATGATAGGCATGTTTTATATTATTTCCCTAATTTCTCCAAGCACATTATGAAGTAGGAATGTTTCTCTTATTCAGATGAGGAAAATTAAGCCTAATATTAAACAACAGAGCTGGGATTTAAATCAAGGTCTGACCCTACTGTACCATGCTGCCTCCTGCTAGAATGATATGTGTGTTCTGGGTGAAGGTCCAAAGGAAGGGGCGACTCCTGTCTACTAAAATATCCCAAAGAAATAAGTTTAGTTTACAAAGTAGTTCAGTCAGAATGCTTTGGATGTTACCTAGCCAGCTGACTGACTGACTAGTTTGTGTGTGAGAGAGACAGACAGAGGGAGAGGTAAGGGGCAGAGAGCAAAACAGAAACAAATTTGTACAAGGGTGCGGGTGGGCTGCCCCTTTGGGTCTGCTTGTGGGTCTGATTCTGTTGCTGTCCCCATTCCCTGACTTTAAGACTTGGGATTTTTTTGAATCATAATCCAAAGGAGGTTATAGTAAAACTTTACCTGAAGAAAACAAGATTTGCCTTGACTACTGTTAAAATGAAAGACACAGGCCCAACATGGTCTCACTTCTGCTCTGCCAAGTCACCAAAGTGGGACATAATAACTGAACGTAATTACAATTTCAATGTACCCTGAAATGTAGTCAGTCAAGGAATCGTCTGGTCAGCATCACTGATAAGATCATCCCAGGAGCCTTCACCATCTTCCCTGAAAGAAGGTGGGATCATTATCATAAGACCCCATACTCTTCCCCTAAGAGAAAGTGACCTGGCCCCAAACAATCCCTTCTTTCCTTTGCCTAATAATTTTGCTCCACCCTCATGTCTATAAAAACCTTCCATTTTATACAATCCCTCAGAGCTTCTCTCTGCAAGAGGAGTTGCTGCCTGACTCATGAATCACTTAATAAAGCCAATTAGATCTTCAAATTCACTTGGATAAATTTTGTTTTTTAACACTGCTCAATAAAATGAAACACAAGCTTGTCGAATTTTTTTCAGGTAGAGGAGTCTGTATGTGAGAGTAAGGCATAGGTGGGAATTCTGTTCTGGAAGCGGTGGACTTCTTCATGCTATCATGTGGGCATTCGACCTGCTAGCATGCCCTGGCTTGCCACTTAAAATATTAGTGGTCAAGACAAGGAAGGGCATTCATCTTGCCTCATTTGCAGTCTTTGCCTTTGGGGCCACAGACCCTGTCTGACCAGAGATTTCCCACTTTAACCCATTTTTTGTTGCCTTCTGCCCATAACTTGCCTCCTGCCTTTCATAACTCCTGCATTCCCCTGGAAGAAAGTGGGTGAAGGGACCTTTTTGCTCCAAGTTTGATCATTTCCTGCATGTCCTGTTCTACTGAGCAACTGCCTAGCTTTTTGTTTTGCATTTTAAAACTGAGATTTCTACTAAAGCCTCAGTGGAAATAGCTCCTCTCTGACTCACTACTACCCCCATATGTTCTGGGCTCATGATTTATGTCCCATCAGTCTGGTTTGGAAAGTGAATTTTCTTGGGCTGAGGGCTTTTCATTTCTCTCTTTTCCTCCTTTATCCCACTCTGAGTCTTGTGTCTGAGTAGGATTATATATAGAATATATGTATGTTTTTCTCCTTGCTTGGAGCTGTCAGTTGTCTTTAAATGAAAAGTAGAAAAAGTAGAGGCAATGAAGCATAAAATGTTTAAGAACATTGACTCTGGAGCCACAGTGCTGGTGTGTAAATCCCAGCTCTGCCACTTACTAGCTGTCTGATCTTAGGCATGTTGCCTAGCCTTTCTGTGCTTCAATTCCCTCATCTGTGAAATGGGACTAATAACAGTACCTACCTTACAAGTTTCTTGTGAAAATTTCAGTCAATTGATAGAATGTTTAGAATGGCCCCTGGCACACAGAGGATGCTGAAGCATCATTAGCTCTGCCTCTCCACCCAGCCTGCCCCCTTCTCCCCTGTAATTTTCCACCAACAACCCCCTGGGAAAAGCTTTGGGAGAAAGGCTGCTGGGTTTGAACTATGACACTGGGTTTCACGAGTGTAGAAAGGAAGGTTTTCTGCAGCACAGGGAGGAATGCTTTTTTTCCAAACACCGACACACCGTTGAGTACAGCTGAAGCCCGAACTGGGGTCTGAGTGTGGCTCCTCTTCACAACCACCTGGCCTCAAGCTCACTTTAAGGCCTGGCTCTTAAGGCTTGACTATGTGCTGCCACAGCTCCCACCTGCCCTGTGCTCATCTCTTAAAAGTGATTATCTGAGTGAGTTAGTACACCAGGCCAAATTTCTCCACTGTTTAGTTTCCAGAGGCTTGTAGTGGTGGTGGTGAGGTTTCCCTGAGGAAAGGACAGCAATTGCCACCTTTTTCTAGGAAACTGGAGGCTCAGTAAGAAAAGATGGTTGCCCATGAGCCAACTGGAGGACCCAGGAGAAAGCAGTCTTCTCTGGCCTGAGTTTTCTTCCCAAGAACCCTCCCACTGCAGCCTTTTCTGGACTCTGAGATGAAGCAATGGTTAACATAACATTTGGAGCCCAACGCCCTAAAAGGGAAAATGTCAAGCAAGTTTAAGAATGTTTTGAGGCTCCCCCCACCTCAGAGGACACAGTTAACCTTTCAGGAAACTTCAGCTACACTTGCCACAGCCTTCTGCCTGTCTGTTGTGATGCTGCTGCCCTCTGCTGTCACTCAGGGGTAGAGGAACCTTTTAAAACAGCCAGTTAAGTGAATGAATTTAGGATTTACTTCTCTTGAAGACTTTGGAGAGCTGGGTAGTGGCTCAAATTAGGAAATGAAGACCTACCCACAATCCGCTGCCCAGGCCCTGTCCTCTGTCCCGACCTAGCTGCTTCTGCTCCTCCAGTGCTACTTAAAGCAGAGACTTGCTGAGGGAAACTATTCCACAGCCCTAAAAAGATGCCCAGAAATGTCCCAGAACTGGTGAGCCTCACCCGCCTCAGAGTCCTATCCCTAGAACTGTGGGAAACCATTTCCTCCTTTTATTAGGTTCCAGTTTCAGCTGAGCAAGGGAGCTTTTCCCTTGACCTCAACCATGTCCTGGCTCAAGTTCACTCGCACATGTCCCGCTGCTCCCGGCGCTGGATCAGCTCCTGGTTGCTCAGTAGGTAGTCATCAATGAACGTCAAGATTTCCTCAGGGGTGACAGGTTCCATGTAACGTTCCCGGTCAATTCCCTGCTTGTCAATCAACACCATGTTGAAGTAGGAGCGAGTGAGGTGCTGAAATTGCCTACAGAGAGGAACCCAGGGAGGTGTGACACCTTGTCTGGGCACCATTCCACCAGGCTTTACTATTCTCTGATCTTTCACAGCTCCACCGACAGACTAATTCCTTCCCTACCCAATCCTTTGTCCCCATCCCCTCCACCACCTATCTCAAGCCCCTTTATTTTTGTTCACATTGTAGCATTGCTGTCTCTGTGCAACTAGTTCTGCTGAGCTGACCCCTTCTCATGCCAGATAGAGTGGCTTTGCTCTTCCTAGGCTGTGCTACTCCCATAGGCCCCCATAAGCAGGACTATCACATATAGCTATGTGGGATGCACATAATAACTCCAGGGGTCACCAGTAATATGAACCATGACATGGCTAGTGTTTTCTAGAGTCGAACTGAGCATAACCTCCTCACCCATACATGGCAGCCCTGGGGTTGACTAATATCACTTGGTCAGCTCTTCTATCTGCAACTGCAGGTTCACAGCCTCCTTCCACTGAGTGGTACCTAACTGGTACTGAATCTCTCTGTCCCCACTGAGACTGAGCCCTAGAGGCAGGTCTTGTTTATAGAACAGAGAGCAGGGAGAGCTTTCTTGGCTTTGTGTATATATGGAGACGTCAGAGGGGTGACAACAGATGATACATAATGAGAAAAGTCCACTCCTACAATCTGTCACTGTAGTCTTGTCTTACCCCAGGGCAGATGGGTATGATGCCAATTTCAGTGCCTGGAGATGCCTTTTGCTCCTTTGGAGGCTGAAGGCAAAGAGATGGGGCCATGAGACAACAAGCTCAGAGGCTCCTCTGGGTGCTGCTGGGGTCTGCCTCTCAGCTCTGGCTGTGCTTCTGTCCCCTGTGGTACCTTATAAAAGCACAGTCCTGAGGTGGGTTGGGGTGGGGCCTGTTCATCTGTATTTTAAGCCCCTCATTTGATCCTGATGTCCTGCCCCTCTCTGGTTTACCTAATGCATCCAAAGAGTTCAAACACAAGGAGTGCCCCGACAGAGAAGTGTCTGCTGATTCTCCCACAACACTCCTGTTGCCAGTGTCCTGCCTAGGGTTTCTGCCCACCCATCCCAGGTGGCCTCCCAGTCTGGACCTGAGCTCCTCAATGATGCTGGCTGACAGCTGTTGCTCCCGGATGCGCCCCACCTCCTGAGGTGGCTGCCCCACCAGCTCGATGATGGTCACGTGCCGCAGGTCCAGTCCACAGATGGATTGCTGGGAGGGCAGAGAAGGTTTTATGGAACACACACTCAGACTCAAACCTAAGTCTATGTAGCTGAGTCCTCCTGGGACTACATGGAGGAGTGTGGGGAGGGGCTTCTCTCTCACCCATCACACCATGGGGCCTACCACCTCTTCCCTAACCCTGTTTCCTTTACTCTAATGAAGTGTATGAAATGTGTTACACCCTGTGGGGTAGAAAAAAGAAATGTAAATTGATAATTTGCAGGAACATCATCTCTCCTTGTTAGTTTTGCCTTGGTATTAAACTACATAAATAAGTTCTTAACAGATGGCTATGATGATATGATAATAATGGCTATTTACTGAACACACATACCTAATGTTTTACAGGAATAATACAATTAAATCCTCACAACATCCCTAAAAGGTAGGTGGCATCATTCTTACTCTGTAAAGGAGAAAGTAACTTACCCAAATTTGCATGACAATAAGACAGAGCCAAGATTCAAACTGAGGGCTGAGGCTGCCTGTTCCCAGTACCTGCTCCTTACCACTAGGCTACATGGCCAGGCCCTTCCCTCGGTCTCCAGGATTCTCCAAAGTAGTGCCAGTGCTCCTTTCATTGTCCTTTGTTGCTTTCCTTGAATGGAGCAAGACACCCTCGCTCATTGTCCTGCCTCATCCTGCAGGGCCGCCGCTTTGCCAGGTCCCTGGAGCCAGGTTTATACTGGCAGTGAACAGTCCCTGGTGCCCCAGCCCTTGGTTAATCTTCAGACTGCCCCTCTGGTCATGACCCCGAGGCACTGTCCTCACTCTCCGGTTCCTGCTCTTGTTCTTGCTTTCTGTTCAAGCTTTGATTGAGGGATTGTCTGCCTTTGTCTGCCGTTGATCCCTGGAGAAACTAGATCCTTTTGGGTTTAAATTTGGCAACTTCTCAAACTCAACTTTTAGAAACCTCTTACACAGCTTCTTTTTTTACCTGGGTATTCAGCCCTTTGAAGCTCTTCAGAAAAAGTTCTCTTAGTCCTCACTTGAAGAGGCTCAGTGCTCTTCAAGAAGCTAGTCCGTTCTTTTTATAGTCCCAGTGGTCATAGCTATTCTGGGCTATCCACCTCTCCCTCCCTGACAAGTGGCTTTGGCTAAGGATCTCTTAGTATGTTAAAAATCGCATTGCAACTTGTTTGTTTTACTTTGAAATAGCACATGTTTCCTTCTCCTCTGCTACTAAGTAGTGGTTAAGAGCACATATCCTACAGTCAGTCTGCCTGGTTCAGTCCCAGCTGGTCATTTACTAGCTAGTGAACTTGGGCAAATCACTTCACCTCTCTATGCCTCAGTTTCCTCACCTATAAAATGCGGACAGTAATAGTACCTACTTTATAAGGGTTGTTATGAGAATTAAAGGAATATGTGTAAAGCACATGCTTATATAGCAATTACCATCTAAGTGTTTGTTAGTGCTATTATTCCTTGAAAGCATAATAAGCCTAATTAATTCCCAACATTTACATTTGATTATACCTGTCGCATAAGTCTCTCCAGAGTGCTTTGCCATACTCCCTTCCCATCCTTAACCAAGCCCTGCCAGTCACCATTCCGGTGACTCCACTGCGTTTTCAGGTAAAACAGCAGTTTTTTAAAATGTGCAAAATTTGTCTACAGTAAAACTGATCAGTAGTCCATAAAAACTTGGAGGAAGTAGGGTTTGTGCTGCAGAAAGAGCAACACTGATCTGGAAGAGGTGAGAGAGTAATGGGCGTGGGTTAGAGGTCATGTACAGGAGCTAAGCCCTAATTAGAGGAGTGGGTCTCACCTGTAGCATAGAGATCTGCATTTTATAATATCGGTTGGAAGGATCAGGAGCTGAGATGATGAGGAGTCGCTGTTTCTCATAGAATTGGTCCAGGAGACCAGCAGCTGAGTTGACATTGACATTAATCTTCATGGCTAGGGTACAAGCAGATGGCCAGTCAGAGTACGGCCTTCTCCTCCATCCCAGCATGGGTAACAACATCTTGAGGAGTTTCAGCATTTTGGGTTAACCCTTTTTGGTTGTTTCTCCCTTTTCTTGGAAGAAATCCTGAAAGAACACTTGGAGATTGTAAGCCCTTCTTAGAGCAGGAGTATTCCATGGGGTAACATTGGCCCTTAAAATAAACACATCTCAGAAGCCCCCATTCCCACATCATACACACTGCTACCGCACTGCTGAGCCACACCCAGGGCTCCCCCAAGGCAGCCCTGATCTGCATGTCCATGCTCCCCATCCACAGCTTCACTCACGAGCACAGATGGGTGGTGACCCTGACCACTGGCGGCTGGACTGGCAGACCCGGGAGGGGGTCCCTTGGCGCTCATAACCCCCATCACAGTGGTATTCACAGGTGGCACCATAGTTGTCCCCTGCTGAGGTGCAGGTGAGGTAACCATGCTGTGGTGGCTTCAGAGTGGGGCAGCGTCTCACTGTCAGACAAGAGTTCAAGTTAGGGGCTCTGGCATTTCTTTTAGGAAGAAAAGCCTAAGAGAGTACCCATGCTGGGTATTCTAGACCAGGAGACCTAGAACCATTAGAATGCATGGCTTCTCTGTGTTTATGGTGGCCAAGGATGGAGCCAGCATTTTCCTTTCTTAAGGAATTAAATCTGAAATGTGGACAAAGGTGTTCATAAAATCTGGGAGTGCAGGTGAGTAAACATATTGTCATCAGGAGACTTTATCAATATGTAAAAAAAACATGCCATTTTGTTTTCAGACTTTGTGGACACCCTGTGTAAGGACCACCTTACAAAATTCTTTTGAATATAAAAATAAACCAGAGGAGACTTAAATACTCATCAGTGGGAGAAGTGTTAAGCAAAGGATGATACTTAGAAGTAGATTATTAGGCTGTCATTAAGCATATTTCTGAAGGATATTTTTAAAATACAGAAAAATTACTTATATTGTCATGAAAAGTGAAAAGGAGTGATCTAAGACTGGATATACAGTATGACCTCAACTATATTTAAAAAAAACTATATGTACCTAAAAAATTGGAAGGAAAATACCAAAAGATTAACAATTGCCTCTGAATGATGCAGTAACCTATTTTTTTCCCTTTGTGCATTTCTTTATTTCCCAAATGTTTGACAATGAGCACGAATTATTTTTATAATGAAAAAAGCAAAACAATATGGCACAAAACAAGGAGGCAGTGTCAGGATTAATGCCAGCAGCCCTGATTCCAGCAGAGGGGAAACATGGGTTAGATTTCATAAGAAGGCCAAGACAAGAAATGGATATAGAGTATCTCTGTGAATTTTTTCTAGACTTAGGAGAATGTGTTGCTGGTGAGTCAGGGTTTCTGAGATATGTGCATGCCCATGTAATGCAGGCTTCCTGAACAATCCCTTTTAGTGAACTTGTTTTCTCCCCTTCTCCATATAAAGGAGGTGTTTGTTTCAGGTATAGAGAGGAGAGGGTTGGGGTAGGCATCGAGAGGGTCAGTGTAGAGCAGGAATAATGAGCAATGCAGAAATGGAAGACTTCTTTCTGACCTTGTACTTTCACAATGAACTTGCAGCTGGCCCGGTTGTAGGCTCGATCATAGGCAGTATAGCGAATCACATGCTCTCCTTCAGGAAAGTGAGAGCCAGGCTCAGGGCCCCGAAGTGTCATCCTGCACAAGACAGGGTGAGAGTGCCACTGAGAAAAGACCCTCTTAGAATTGGGGCTTGGGGTGCATCGTCACTGTAGTCTCAGCCTGTGCAGTTCAGGGTGGGCACTGGGAGAAGACGCTGGGAGGCATGAGGGGTGTCTATTACTCACCTGGTGATGGTACCATCAGCAGAATCTTTCACCAAGGGTGGGTCCCAGTATACTCGAGCTGTCAGTTTCTCTGGCTCTGCCATCTTCTCACGTGAGTGGGGACAGCGGATCTTGGGAGGATCTATGTCTGCCAAGGTCAGAAACCAAGTGGTGATTCGTGTCCCCTGCCTTCCCTGGAGGGAACCCATAGAGGCAATACCACACCACTGGGTGGGTAAAAAATGCACTTTCAGTTCAAGATGCTCCACGAATGTGGGGAAGGAAGCCCAGCTCCAGGGGAAGCTCCAGGGATCACTTTGTTAAGCCTGTGCTGAGGGTGCCACCCTCCTAGTGAGCAGGAATGCCTTCTGCAGTGAGAATTCCACATCCTTCGTGGATACTATAATGCCAAGGTGGCTCATTGCACCAGGACAACTGGGAGCGACCAGCATTTACCTACACATACAGGCTCGCCTCCACTCCACTGCCCATCTTCCATGCAGATTCGGCTCCGGTCACCTTCCAGATGGTAGCCACTGGAACAGCTGTAGTCACAGCGGGAGTCAAGAAGCACCCCATTTGTGCAGGTGTAGGTGCCACTAGTGATGAATGGCAGTGCGTGGCATCTCACCTCTAGGAGAGAACCAAGTGGCAAGCTCAGGGGCCCATGGGACTCTCTGGAGGGGATGCCTGGGCATCTAGCACAGGGAGAACCATATCAGAGAGAGAGAGCATAAGATACAGAAAACCCTACCCAGAACTGCCCTTACAGGTTGGTTCCTAACTGCCATTTTATTTTCATATTATAAAGCACAGCCGCCTTGGTTTAGGGGGAGGGGTCCGTAAATAAGTAAATTACTTGTTCAGGCGCATGGACTTCGGAATCACGCCTGAGTTTGCATCCCATCTCTGTCTCTTACTAGCTCTGTAGTTTGAGCAAGTTACCTCATCTCCGAGTCTGTGTTCCAATCAGTAAAATATGGATACTTCACAGGATTGTTGTGCAGATTAAAAGAGACAATGTGCATAAAACTCTGGGCTTATTCAGGGCCACAGAAGCTGTTTCTGTCTTTTGTTGCTCAAATGCTAGCTGCCCCTGTGCAAATCCAAGGCTCCTTTTTGAGTGTATTTCAGGGTTACCACTAGCATGTCTCAGTTGAGGCTCACTTACTGGAGCTTGATATCCAGAAAAAAGGAAGCTCCCACACCCCTCTCTCTGACTGTGATGTATTTGTTTAGGACTTAGACCCCATCGTTTCCAAAATGAATTTGAATTGGGGCTGCAAAATTAAAATAATGTAAGTCTATAAATGAACATAAAACCAGTTAAAAGAATGGAGATGTACATATTTCCAGGTGCCCAGAATGAGTCAGTTACTGTATTGGAGCACTGAATCTGGCTTTGTCCTTCCTCCTAAGAGACTAAAGGGCAAACACTTCGTATCTATCATTTTCACTGTCATACAGTTCTAAGAAGACAAATTCATCTGAGAAGACAAACCTTTTTTCTTGGCCCTGATTTCAAGGTCAGTTTTGCATGGGTCTGTACATAAAGGATACTAGAAAACATCAACAGAAAAATCACAAGCTTGGTTTGGCCAAGAGACAAAATTAATATAGTTTATATAGAACCTTTATTCAAAGCTCCAGAGGGCAGTGGGCTGGCCCTCTGGCTGCATGAGATATGAGTCAGACCAGTGCCTGGAGGGCAAGATTTTGATGGTATTTGATTAAAAGAGGAATCCATGTACTTTAGACAAAACATGTGCCAGAAGTGGGGGCTGCTTCCTTGAACTGATTGTGAGCCTGTGCTCCCCAAGGTCCAGTTGAAGATACCTGATACTTAAGAGAGGCAGGCTAGCCATACATTCCTACAGGCTGGCTAAGTTCTAGCCCTGTGTAAATTCAATTACTGGAGCTTTGAATAAAGGTTCTATATAAACTATATTAATTTTATCTCTTGGCCAAACCAAACTTGTGATTATTCTGTTGATGTTTTCTAGTATCCTTTATGTACAGACCCATGCAAAACTGACCTTGAAATCAGGGCCAAGAAAAAAGGTTTGTCTTCTCAGATGAATTTGTCTTCTTAGTATTGTATGACAGTGAAAATGATAGATACGAAGTGTTTGCCCTTTAGTCTCTTAGGAGGAAGGACAAAGCCAGATTCAGTGCTCCAATACAGTAACTCATTCTGGGCACCTGGAAATATGTACATCTCCATTCTTTTAACTGGTTTTATGTTCATTTATAGACTTACATTATTTTAATTTTGCAGCCCCAATTCAAATTCATTTTGGAAACGATGGGGTCTAAGTCCTAAACAAATACATCACAGTCAGAGAGAGGGGTGTGGGAGCTTCCTTTTTTCTGGATATCAAGCTCCTTCTCTCCTCCATGGCAGCTTTTCTGACCAACTTCATTTTTCTCTAAATGTTCAGCAGTCTGTCTCCACTTACACTAAATTCATGTACACACAATCATGTTTCTATCCATTAGTGTGTAAACAGACTGGGGGGAGCTGAGGAATTGAATGAACTCCTGAAGCTACCGATATAGGGCCCCACATACCTGGTGAGCTACAAATGGCATTCAGTAGTGGACAGATAGACAGACAAAGCTCAGCTATTAAAACGGGGTCAGCCACAGTGCTTGAGTAAGAGGTAGGGATGTGGGAACAGAGGGGGCCATAATTTGGAATGTATATGGATTAGCAGCCCCCTATTCTAGTCCTAGGGATTCTTCTTAACTTTCAGAAGCAAATTAAGAATAACAGATACCCCACAGCTTCAATGCCAAGGCCTTCTAAGGCCTCAGGCCAGGAATTAGAGCATTTTAGCACAAGTGGGAAAAAGTGTGAGACCACACACCCTTGAGAGCTCAAGAGGAAGTCCCAGGCCATGCCAGGCCCCAGGTCCAAGCCTTCCATGCACTCCTGGGCCCCTGGGCTAGAAGGGCTGGTTGCTCCTTAAATGCACATACTGCTTGTGCAATAACCGCAGGGAGAGAAAATGAGTTAGAGTGTTAGGATGGGGAAAGGTCCTGTTGGGCTGGTGGAAAACTCTCAATTTGCACTTGACAAAGGGTACAGTAAGACCTCCAGGCATACACCCGCAGTGGCTGGCTGGCTGGCTGACCTTCTCACACATGTCAGCATATGCACACACCACTTACGCCTACAGTAGGCAGTTCCAGACCAACGGCGACTCGGCAGACACTGCACCGACCTCCGACCAATCAGTCGAAAGCCTCGGTCACAGGAGAGCTCACAACGAGTGCCCAGGCTGCTGTGATAGTTTCCTCCCCTCGGTGAGTAGCATGTGGCTTCTCCATCCTGGATATTTAATGTATAACACCATCGGGGGACTGTAGTAATAGAAGAAAACAAGCTAGAAATATAGTAATCAAGACAGTGTGGTACTGGTGAAACAGCAGACACATGGGTCAATGGAACAGAATAGAGAGCCCAGAAATAGACCCACATAAGTGTGTATGTTGAAATGATTTTTGACAGAGTGCAAAAGCAAGTCAATGAAGGAAAGACAGCCTTCTGAACAAATGGTGCTGAATCAACTGAAGCTCCACAGGCAGAAACAAAAGTAAAAGAAAACAAGAAAAGAAAATGAAAAACAACCTCGACCTAAAGCTCACACCTTTTATAAAAATTAACTCAACATGGATTGTGAACTTCAACGTGAAAAAATAAAATTGTAAAACTTTTAGAAAAAAGCCATAAAAGAAAATCCCTGGGATCTAAGGCCAGGCAAAGAGATCTTAAAAACTTTTGTTCTGTGAAAAGCACTGTTAGTAGATGAAAGACAAGCACAAACTGGGAGAAAATATTTACAAACCATGTATCTGACAAAGGACTAGTCTTTAGAATATATAAAGAACTCTTTCAAAGCTTGACAGTAGAAAAGCAAACAATCCAGTTAAAACATGGGCAAAAGACATGAACAAACATGTCACTGAAGAGGAAATACTGATGACAAATAAGTACATAAAAGATGTTCAGCATCAGTAGTCATTAGAGAAATGCAAATTAAAACCCCAACAAGATACCATCATATACACATTAACGGGTCTCAACTGAAAACAAAACAAAACAAAAAAACCCCTGGTAATACCAAGTGTTGGTGAGGAGGGAGAGAAACTAGAACTCTCATACATTGCTGGAGGAGATACAAAATGATACAGCTACTTTGGAAAATACTTTGGTAGTTTTGTGTAAGGGTAAACAAATATACTTGTAAGTCTCTGCAATCTCACTTGAGGTACATACTCAAGTGAAATGAAAACCTGTGTTCATACAAAATCCTGTACACAAATCTCTATTCACAATTGCCAAAAGCTGGAAACAACTCAAATGTCCTGTAGGCAAATGGTTAAACCCACTTGTGGTTTATCCATACAAAGGAAGGACGTGCTGATAGAACACAATAACGTGGATGAATCTCCCATGCAGTTTGTGAAGTGAAAGAAGCCAGACTGGGCTGCAGACTGTAGAGTTCCATCGCTATGACATTCTGGATTAGGTAAACATATAGGGACAGAGCGGTGGTTGCGAGAGGTCAGGGACAGAGTTTGGCGATGATCCAAGGGGCAAGATTTTGAGGTGATGAAACTGGTACTGTGGTAGTGGTGACCTGACTCCGTGAGCTTGTCAAAACTCATAGAACTGTAACCAAAAAGAGTCGCTTTTACAGTATGTGAATTTAAAATAATTCTTAAAAAACAATACAAAGATGTAAGGTAGAGAGAAGGGAATGTGTTAGGAAAGAAGGCTGTTTGCGAATCAAAGTCTGGTCCCAGTTCAGTACTGGGCACAGAAGCAAATAGGGCCAGTAAATCATAAAGGCATCATAAGATGCCTCATTAGCTACACAAAACAAAAGACTCTTTAGTGGGTTCAGATTTTAAAGGGACACATATAAACAGGCAGAGTATGACCTGCCCAGGGATGCATACACTGAATGACAGAGATCTTTTAGCCTGAGGTCGGAAAGGCTAAAGCCCCGCGTAAACTCATTAGGTTCCTGAATCTTAAGAAACAAGAAAAGGGGGCTTTGGAAAAAAAGCACATCAGGAGCTAAAAGACCAAGCAAGGTGAGAGCCTCTGCTTAAGGGCGGCTGGAGAATGAAGACGGATGACAGTGAGAAAACTATTCTTTGAGCAACAACATGCTTGTGGCTTCCAGTGGTAGATTTGAGCCTGTGGCTGTGACACACGGCTACCATCTGGAGACACCATTCTACAAATGACAGAAAGTCTCAAAGCGCTCAGGTTGCAGAGCTATTGATTACACAGGCACAGTACACATCACAAAGACTTTCCATGGGAGGCTGGGACCTCAACAATCACTCCCACCTTATTTTTTGCCCATATTCTGTCAAAGAAAACACACATCAGATTGGAATGTCAAGAACAAGCAAGCATAGTAAAGGGAAATACAAAAACTCAGGACAAATGCTGAGACAGTAAGAGAGGGCCTAGTGATTGTCAGTAAGTTCAAATTTTCTGGCCTGGAGGAATCCTGGCATAAAGAAAACATATTGGAAGGCTGGAAACAGTCCAAACACCATCCCAATGTTCTTTCCTACTCCCCGTTTCCAGCTTTACTGAGATACATAATCTATTGAAAAAAAATCGTGTATATTTAAGGTGTACAATGGGATGATTTAATATACACATACATTTTGAAATGGTTATTGCAGTCAAATTAATTAACACATCCATTATTTCACACAGTTAGCATTTTTTTTGTAGTGAGAACACTTAAGATGTACCCTTCTAGCCATTTCAAGTCTGCAGCATAGTGTTAGTAACTGTAGTCATCATGCTGTACATTAGGTCCTCTGAGGGAAGAAGAAGGCTGCCTCTGGGAACTATAGCCTGATGAGACTGACAGGACTGAGAGCAGAGTGTTCTAGAATATGTAAACATAGGCTTCTGAGCAATTTGAAAGTGCAGTGGTAATCTCCAGGTGCCCTCAAGAACAAGTAATTTCAGACTGACCTCATTTCCTTTTGGGGTATGGTCTCCAGACTGGCAGAGCAGGCGAAAATGAGTGAGTGAGGCATGTGAGAATACCTTTCATGCCATTTATGTGGACGAGATAAAGAAATATAGGCTAGGTGACAGTACAGTTACAGGAATCCATAACTGGCTGAACAAGCCAAAGAATGCTGTCAGGAAGCTGACACTACATGGGGAGACTATCTGGTAGGTCATTGTTGAGTATCTACAGTGTGCTAGCACCATGCTAGGTTCCCCCCATAAGAACCATTGTTAATAGTTTCTTTATGCATATAAAGCCAATCTTGGTGTTGATCCTTATTTTCCTTTTCTTTTTAATGCATAGAATAACATATTATGCCCACTGTTCCCACCAATCCTTTGTATTTACTTATTTTTAAATTCTTGAGCAGTTTTTTATTGTTGAGTTTTTTCCACCAGTCCTTTATAAAATAAACTTAGCTACGTATCATAGAGATCTTCCCATATCACTACACAGCACACATGCAATGTATTTAGGTGAAATAACACTTGAAAAATACATAGCACCATGACTGGCACATAACAGGTGCTTGTCCAGGATCAGAGAGCTGGGAGGTGGAGGAGTTAGGACTTGAACACAAGGCACATGGCCTCTGCTCTCTGCAGTTATTTACCTATCTCTTTTTAGGGATTATAAAGAAAGTCAAGTGCTATCAACATGGTTGAAAGGGCCTTGTCTGTGATTATTTTCAGGTAACTCAGAGTTAACCGCTGGTCCAGGGCTGAAGTGATCTTCTGGGGTGGGGACATAGCGAGGGCCCAAAGGACTGAGGGCATATTTCAGAGGAGCATTTCTGACTCCAAGCTAGGAGTCAGGATAAGGGAATGAAAGGAAGTTGAAGATTAATGAAAATGACATCAAACTACAAGGGCAGTTTCCTCTAACATAATGATCTGGTGTTCACTGGTTAACCGGTCTTTTCTAAATCTTTTTTTAAAACAATGGGTTGCATTTTTGGTGAAAGAGTTGGAATAGCATGGTTTTGGAATTAGACCTGGGTTTTAAATTCCTGCCTTGCCACTTCCAAGCTCTGTGACTCTCTAAATTTAACTTCCCTGAGCTTAGTTTCCTGATCTGCAAATGGGCTAATAAGCCAGTTTCATACAGCTATTTTGAGAAGCAAATGAAATGTGTGTGAAATATATCTAGCCCTGTGAGTGATACTTTCTAAATCAACTACTGGCTCATGGTGCTTCAAGCAACAAGACGCTGCTGCCATCTGGAGACACAGCCCCCAAATTACAGAAAGTCTCTTGAGCACTAGAGTTGTGGAGCTGTGGATTATGAAGTCACAAGGACTTTACAGGGGAGGCTGGGACCTCAGGTTGTACTTTCCTGACCACCCTCTCCCCGTTTGACAGTGATAATCTCACTGAATTAGTTTTATGTCCTGAGACTAAGTCCCAAAGAGCTGTGAGACACTTGGCCCCAAGGCCAAAGGCTACCATGTGGTTTGTATTCTTCTGAAGGCTTTATGCAACTTTAAAAATAACCAATGAGGCAGGTTAATATTAATCATAGGGCTGCCAGACCCCTTGAAGTACTTTTTGTATCTATTGCTTTTTCCTATCCACATCTCCCATTTATAGGCTCCTATAGTAATCTAGCTTCTGCTCCCTGGATGCCAACCAGCCAGTAAACATTTCTTGGGCATCTACTTTTTACATAGCTCTGTGGAGTTGTCATACATGGCTTCTTCTGTTGAATAGGTGACTACTTTGTGAAGGGTAATAAAAAGTAAACCAAAAAGGCAGTACATAATGAATGCCAAATGAGTGGTCCAGACAACAAATATTTATTTCAGAAGAGGTACATAGTAGGGACTCACTAAATATTCATTGAATAGAGATTGGATAAGGGAAAGCTCAGTGTGGGCTAAAGTCATCAGGGAACAGCACAGAGTTCTACAAGCCTGGCTGAAGCTTAGGTTCATGTGGAGAGAAGAGATAATAAGCTGTCGGTCTAGGCAGCTAGACTGAGACCCAAAATCTGTTAGAAATGGCCACAATGGGCCACAGGTATGGGCAAGGGAGAACCATGAGTCAGAGAATCCAGTCAGAAGGCAATCACCATTATCCTTGTGGGAAGTAATAAAAGTTTTAATCCAATGGGTTAATAAGAAATGACAGTTCTTGGTAAATGATTGGTGAGAGGCAATGAGGGAAAGGGAGCTATTAAAGGTATTTTTAAGAGAATGATGAGAATTATCAAAATTACTTAAGAGAATTATCAGAAGTTAGGAGGTCATCTTCCTACTTTCTCAGGGAAGATGAAAGAATTTAGTTTTAGATATCTCCAAGTGGACTGTCCAGGGGATCAGGAGATAGGTCAGGGTTGCCCAAATTTCAGATCCATGCCTCTTCGCTTCCTCATCACCACCAGAGAGCCCATCTCCTTTCTTGGCTTCTGCTATGATCAGAATAGTTAAATGTCATGGAGCCCAAGGAAGTAGGGATGAAAAAAAGATATGTGCTCAGTGCTGCTGAGAGACTGAGGAGACTGAAGCTCAAGAAAGGACCATATGATTTGGTCACTGGGAGAGAAGTGTGGTCTTCAGGGAATATTTTCTTAGCATGGAGATTTGTGGATGAGTGGGAAACAGACTGTAGGGAGCTTAGGAGTTAGTGGGTGCTGAGACAGAGAGGCACTGTGGGTGGGCTATTTGGCAGAGGGAAGATAGTTAGAATGTAGCTAGAAAGGAGCACAGAGGAACCCAAAACTTTGATCATTTATCCATTGAAACTGTTTTCTCAAAGGTCACTATTTACCTTCTTCTTGCCAAACATGTTTGCAATAACCCCAATTTGTCTCTGCAATATTTGACACAGTAGATCTCTTATCCCTTCTTCTTGCTTAAAACTCTTCTCCCATGGCTTCTGTAATATGAAGGACACACCCTCATGTCCTCTTACATGGCTGACTCCTATCTCTTTTACCCTTGTTGGCTCCTCTTCTCTTATTCACATCTGTAGATGTCTTCTAAGGCTCTGACCTTGGTACTCTGCTCCCTTCAACAGCTCATTCATTTAAACGGAGGACACAAAGCTCCATCTTTCTACTTCACACTGCCTACAGAGCACCCTCAACAAACCAATCTTCTTTCCTAACCTTGTCTTCCTGAGGAGAGTCTTAGAGTTCTCCCAGGTATTCACACTGGATGCTTTCAGATATCTGTTTATTTCTTAGCCTCTTGGTACATCAAATCTGCACTAAGTCTTGTCATCTCATCTTTTGAAACATCTCTGGGGTTCCTCTCTAACCAACATTACTGTTACTGAATCCTGGAGAATCCCCCTGACCCAGGCTCTACCCCTCCCCAAACCCCTACTTTCTGTACACAATAATGAGGTTTACCATGTCACTCCCCCAGACAAAAACATAAAGCTGGCTCCTTATAACTCCTAGCAAAACAGCTAAAGTCTTCTGCATGGCTTGCAAAGAACAGAAACAAAGAATCTTAGAAATGGAAGGGATATTAGATATTACCTGGTCTAAGTCTAACTTTCCTTCTAATGCAGGAATCGCTATTTAGCATTCTTCATAGATAGTCCTCCTGCCTCCCCTTAGAAGGGTCCCTAGATCATGGCACCTTTCCTAATTTGGTCTCACTCTTTATATTCGACTTTATTTTCTACTACTTTCTCCATGTCCCACCTCCTCCAGTCAGGCTGGTTTTTTCCTAGCTCCTTTCTCCAATGGGTTTGTTCTTACCGCTGTATCTGTGGTCATATGCTTCACTGAATGCCCTCCCTTCCCCTTTCCAGTTCTCAAAATCATCCATGATTCAAGGCCTGGTTTAAATCTCATCTTTCATGACTCCTTTCCTTCTTTTCCTTAACTCCTACTGCATATATTGCTACCACATAGTTTCACACTTACTTGCTCTACTTGTGCTAATTTTACTGCCTCCTCACTCATCCGCCCTCCCCCAGTAGAATGTAAGTGCCTCAAGGGGGACAAAACCTTGTCTCAGATTTTGTATCACCTATAGGCTTACCTTGCACAGGATTAGGCATACAGTAGGCACTCAGTCAATACTTAAAGACTCATAATAGATGGACAACCTCAATGCTAGAGAGATGAGGTCATACAGCAAGTCAGCAACAAGTTCATGATTGGAAATCCCAACCCCTGATTTCCTGACCGGCGGTTTGGGTACATATGAGCCAAGCTGGATGAGGATGCTTCAGGGAGGGCCTATGTCTTAGGCCCCAAAAGATTCTTTCTAAGATGAGAAGCAGTGAGGATTACCTTGGTAGTCTAAGGCGGGGGCCTGCAGAACCTCTTCAGCATAGACTTCATTGTGGCTTTCATCGGGGTAGTAGCCTGAACCTGGAATGAAGAGGACAGTATCAAGATGATATATTGATTTCTCACTCCAGTCCTTCCCAGCCTTTTCCCCTTTCCGACTTGGTTCCTTCCTGAGGCCATGACACTCCATGGGTGGGCAGGGGGTGGATATTTAGTGAGGAAAACTCTTCCTTGTAAAGCAGCACAAGTATTATGGGGAAACCTCAACACCTCAGGGACAGAGAAGGCAGGATTGTGGTTGGAGTGAGGGGGTGCAGCTTACTGGTGGTGCTACAGGCCTCTATCCAAAAGAAAAAAAATTCAAACTTCTTGACCATCTTTCCATCCCATCAATCTGGGCTATAAATGACTCACTTCCTTGATACAGCACATGAGCCTTGATGAGACACTGATGACCAAGCTCTGAGGATGGAGTATTGTCCCAAATCAGAGGAAAAAAACAAGCCTGAGTAAGGGTCTTGCCTTTAGCAACAGGGCTGTTCACAGGCCTCAGAAGGAAACAATTTCTAGAGCTCCCTCACTCCCACGGGGCACCAGCCTTTTGTGACCTGGTTGTCATTGCTGGGGATGGCATGCCAAGGCAAAGGGTGGTGGGAGGGGGCTCACAAGGCAAGGGGAATGAGAAGAGTTTCACCTCCTTAGCAGTTTGGAGGAAAAAAAAGGCAAAGTCCTTTGGAGAAATTTCCTGTTCTTCTAATTAGCAGGAGCTTTAGCAGGGAGCTGCTGAGCTAGATAGAGAGCATTCCCAATCCACCCCCATTCCACTAAGTGGCCCAGCCCTGGTGGAAACAGGTCTAGGACTGTCTGGGAGACTAAACAGTGTGTTCCACCAGACGGCAGGAAATCAGTCATGAATGCGCGCTAATTGGAATACAACTTGGGCCTTTCCGGAGTGAAGTTTCCGGAAACCCTCCTTCCACCCTCCCTGAGCCCTGAATGGAGCAACCAGCCTGTGCTGGAGTCTGCAGACAACTCCTCATTCCCAGGAGAGGGTGCGCTTCCAGGACAGGGCTGGGTTTTAATGCTGGAGCCCTTTGGCCTGTGTAAACAGTAAAACCGCAAGCTTGCCTGTCTCCTCTCTGGGCAGAGGCACAGGGCCCCCTGCACTGAAGGGTGGAGCAGAGGAACACATGATGAAGCTCCTCCATTCCCACAGGCCCAGTCTGGGGGTGGGGGTATTGGGAAACCAGTCCAACTTGATGAACAAGGGAATGAATCAAATTGAAAGTTTGCCCTATGAAATCATGGCTTTGTTGGTTTGCCCTCATTCCAAAGGAAAGAGTTCATTTTTTCTCTTCCTTTTATTTATTTATTTTATTTCTGTTTTCCCTTTTCAGTTCTTCTGGTTCCTTTTATTTCTCCTTAGGCCTCCTCTCCCTTGCTTTCTTCCCACATGGGAGGTTTCTCTGTGTGTGTGTTGTGGGGGGCAGGAGGCATGGGGGGGGGACACAGAATTGTTGTCCGCTGTTTCCATTTAGTATTAGCCTCAAGCCTTATAGCTCCTGTAAACAGGAGGCCAGATGTGTGTGATTCCCTAAAGGATTCCACCCCCCCCCACCCCACTCTTGTTCCAGAGCTAGCTTGTGGGGAAATGCCCAGCAGGGAGCAGGCCTCGTTTACCACAAGAGCAAACAGAGGTGTCAGAGGCTGGATGACAATCACCACCAACCACAATGACTGCTAACATCACTGAGCACATACTCTGTGCTGTGCATGTTATCATGTCACCCTAACAACTCAGTGAGGTAGAGAGCCTGATTGCTCTCTAGTGTACAGATGAGGAAACAGGTTCAGAGGAGGTATGGGAGCAGCCCAAGGTCTCCCAGCTAGTAAGGAGCAGAGTAGGTTTTTTTGCTCTGTGTGTCTTGGGGGATCAAAGGCTACCAAACATTTTACAGCATTCCAGAATTACAGGGATGTGGGAAAGCTGAGGGGGAGACTCAGTCAGTCAGATAATTACAGTCTCCAACAGGGTGCTGAGGTAACTGGATCAGTGCCAAGTTGCTTTGTGATGGAAATGGGCTGGGGCCACCTTACCACTCTGAGCCTTTCCATTTCCCCTCTTTGCCTGTCTTTGGGTATTTTCTGCAAATATTAGGACACTGAGCTGAGATGTAAGAAGCTAGAGGAGCACTCTCCACACACTGCTGTATCTGCTTGTCCCTCCTCAGCTCTGGGGGGGACAGAATTGGGCAGCATTGGGCAGCAACCAGGTCCTTCAGCTCAGTCAGTGGTTACAGCGTGGTCTGGTACTGGTTTCCTCCGACTGCCTTCCATAGCACAGTCAGACCCTCTAAGCACTGCCCTTCATGACTGTATGGTTGCAAATATAACTGATAGTTGAAAATGATTTTAAGATCCACACTAATGCTTGGCTTATGCCAACAAACACAGGCTGACTTCCTGAATGGCTCAGACATACCAATACACGCTTTTAACCCACTGTTTGCTTTATTTGTATTCCTAACTCTTCCCAATCCCTGCTGATTATTCCTGGATCCTTTTTCTGATTAGCCCTGAATCTACACTTGGCTGCTTTCCTTGGGTCATTCCCGTTTGAAGACAAGGCTAAAGCTGTTAACAAATGGCGCTGCATGCATAGCGAGTGGCCAATAAATATTTGTTGAGTGAATGAATGAACAAGTCCATGAAGCAAACTCAGACAGCCGAGCTAGTGATGCAGGGGAGGATTATTGGGTATTTCTCAAATTTCTTTCATCCTGCAGCCTCCTAAGAACAGAAGAGGCCAGAATGAGCATGTTTGCAGGGCTGTCAGAGACCTCATTGGCCTGGACTCCTCGAAAGGAGTGGAGACCCTGTGATTCTTGTAGAGGTTGGGAATTCCACCTTTACAAACAGCCCTCTGAGAGCTTCTCATGAACCTGAGTTTAAAAAAAACCCTGCCCTTTCCTGAAGACTCCAATAGCCCTGGCTCCCACCCTGGGCAAAGTGAAGGTAAAGGCTTTGGCAGCCCCTGGGTTTTCTCACAGGTGTTCAAAATCAGGCTTTGAGCCACCTAGTCTCCACTCCCTGGTACTGTGGTCTGTGACTGGATTTTGGGCTGGCGTACTGGAACTGAAGCTGGGGGAGGCTGGGAAGGACACAGCTGCACATACCTCCTGGACACTCGGGGCTCCTCTAACCCCAAACAGTGCATACTTCGCCAAGGGCTTCACTTGAATTTTTTCATCTCAGTGTCAGCCCTTGTGCTTTACCCCATACAAAGACAGGTTAAGCCAAAGAGGGGAAGAAGTTTGCATATTTGTTTGAAAGCTTGATGCAGCTGTTCCAAACAAAGCTCTTGCCAAAGGCCCCCACCAGGAGCTCTGGGCATGTGGAAAATTTTAGGTGTGATGACTGTGGCTCTGATGGAAGCAGTTGGTTATTTACTCATCTCTGGATATTTTCCTCACTTCATTGGTTGGACCTGCCTCTTTCCCCTATGCTCCCCAGCCCCCATGAAGGCAGACACTGCAGGCCACAGAATATTCTTAGTTCTTGGAATGCCAGCTGGGCCCCATCAGAAACCTCTGTCTGCCTCCTCATTATCCTTCCTTCATTTCTCCCCTTCACCTTTCCCCTCCCCTTGCTGAGTCTGTCCTTTTCCATTCCCTAGATCTCCAGGGGCAAAGGATGAAACATTCAGAAATCCAGAAATCTCCATCCCTCTGTAGTAAGGAACAAGCCAGCAGTAACTAGGGATTCCTGTTTAAGAGAATGTGATCTGTATTGTCATTAACATCATCGGCAGCAAGGGGCTGCAAAAATCTCATGCTAATAAATAAGATCTCGGGGAGAGAGAGAAAGGGAGGGAACCAGAGAAAGAGGGAGAGAGAGAAAGAAAAAAGGGAGGGAGGAAACTAAATGCAGAAGGGGGTGACACAGTGGCCTCAAAAGCCATGTTGTCCAGCTTTCTCATTGTTATGCTGGTGCAACCTGTTTTGAAAAATATCTTTTGTTAGTTTGCCTCAAAAACCTCCCTACATAGCCAGTTGCAATGTTTAACCATCTTTTTGGTAGAGAATAGCTCTTCTCTGTATCTCATTTAAGTCTCTCTTATTTCAGTTGAACTCTAAGACTTGGTCTAGGCTCTGCCTTCCCCAGAAATAATGGGCATCAGCCCCAGAACTTACCTGCATACCATGTTGGTGTCACTGCTGGAGTGAGGAAGAGCAGCAGAGAGAGAGCTCCTCTTTGAGTTAGTTGACAGGCCATCCTTGAAAGGGGTGGGGGTGGGTTAGGGAGACAAGAATAGAAGTATGTGGCCAGAAGTACCAGGGCAAAGGAAAATGTCTTTTAGAAATCAGCCATCAATGAGCTTTCAAAAGTGAGAGGAAGCTGAAATCCAGCATCTGTGAGGAAAGAAGATTTTTCAATTAACGAATGCCCGTTATATCATCCTCTTTGTAAGGATCTTCCACTTTATAGAATAACAAAACTCTTCATTATCTATGGTCTTTCTCCTAGGAAGACAAGGACATAAAGCAATCAGTTCTCAACTGACCCTGGTGAAATCAGGTGCAAATGTTCCATGGACTAACTGAATAGAGAGAGACATTGAGGAACAAGATCAGGAAAGGGCCAGCATCAAGTCTCCTAGAACCAAGAGAGATTCTTGCTATCTAAAGGCTGCCAGATCATTCATGTACCTAGTACTCCCTAACCACTGATCTGGGAAAGCACTAGCACATATGGACTAAGAGCTTGAAATCTGGAGTTACACGTATCTGGACGTGTACCCAGGTCTGTCCCTCCTAGCTATGGGGCCATGGACAAATTCCTTCACTTCTCTAAGCCTCAGTTTCCTCATCTATAAAATGGGAACAATAACAGTGTCTACATTATAGGATAGATTATTGCCTGGCACACAGAGAAGCAATCACTATATATTAGGTCTTCTTATTACCAACTTCATATTGGCCCAGACTGGATGTCTCCCTTCTCTAGTTTCTCAGGCAGTAACTATACCCTGGCTCTGTTCTTAGCATTGGGTTTTGAGGGCTGGTGGTTTGGTAGTGGCTTCTGGCTTTCAGGTCCAGCTGTCCCTTCTAGTTTCACCCTGCAGAAGCAGCAGGGAGTCAGCGGGATTGGGAAGAACCTGCTGAAGTAGCTGAGGAGAGGGTGGCAAGCACCAATTGCCCTCTCACTTCCTGTCCTGTCCTCACTCTAATGGGATGGGAGGTCTGTGGTTCCCAGCAGGCAAATACTTCATAAATGACAGTATTAAAAATTGCTGCACACTGGCATAAACTGACCACTGGACTTCTCAGCAAGCACCCATTCACCCACATGCTCTCAATGGAATGCCATGCTTAGGGGAGAAGTCAGTCCCAGAAACAGAGAAATGGAAAGATGGCAGATTCTGGCCAGAGTTCCCACAGGGACAGGAGAAGTCCAAGAATGGGGAAAAATTCGATTGTCCAGTTCACTGTGACTTGGCTTCAGTGTGTGTCTAGAGACTGGCAAGGAAGCAGGATAGAGAAAAAGTGACAGCAATTGGGGTTGGGAAGCAGGGAAAGTGGAAAGATGTGGGAAAGAAGCTAGGAAGAAAAGAAAACCTGTGAGAGTGGAATGAAAGAGATAAAAGCAGAAAAGAGGGGACAAAGGGATGAAAAAGAAGAGATTTAAAGAGAGATCTGGGGAAATGCACAGCGAGGGGAACTAATTGCTGACTCCCCTCCCACATGCAGCCTCAGTGCAGCCCCTGGTTATGGAGCAGAAGCTTTCCCCTCAGACCCAGTGCTCTGAGTCTGACAGTTTGCCTGCCCACCTCCTCCTCAATCACAACTGAAAACTTGACTCACTGGAGTCAGCCCTCCCTCTGCTGTAGGCAGGGGAGATAGTAGAAACCTGTGTCTGCAGCTGGGGCATGGCTCAAAAGGAAAGCAGCATATGATCTTGTTTCATAAAAGAACTCCCTCCACCTCCAGCCATGCTGCCCAGGTCCTGGGTCTCCTTATCCCTCATGGCTGTGAAATGGGGCAGTGTAGTGTGGAAGGGTTAAGCAGTAGATCTTACCTGTTTTATGGGGGTTTGTGCTCGCTTATTCTTTCTCCTTCCTCTCTGCTCTTCTCATCAGTCGGAAAAACTTCTACTTTAACATTCCTAGAACGAGTGGCTCCTGGTCTGTCCGGGCCTCCGGGATTCTGTTAACACTGCCCAGATGTTAGGATATCTGCATGTGCCAAAAGTTGCCTTAAAACTATATTATCCCCAGTGCTATAGCTGTTTCTTCTTCAGAGAAGGGTGTTAGAGCAGTGGGGGAGAAGGAGCACAAATATTAGAGGAACTCAGTCCGTCTGCTTCAGAGCAGGGGAAAAGTGTGAATGGTGCTGGCCCTAAGCCCGTGAGTATAGTAATGACTAACAGAGGCTGGCTAACGGGCCTCCAGAGATGTGGTACACTGAAGAGCACTTCTTTATATGACTCAGCATGACATCAGGATTGAATTAAAAGAAGTTTCACAAACTCTAGGGAGAAGGGAAGAATGTAGCTGACTTTGACAATCTCTGGAGATTTCCCCTGGAAATCCTTAGTACTCCCCAACTTTGAGTTGCCTTACCATCCATAGGTACAGGGTCAGACCCACTTTGAAATCCTCTCACTGATGACCTAATTTCAGTGGACTTCAGTTTCTGATAAGATTATACTGTTTACAAAAAATGCCATGTGCTTCTTGGCTGAAGAATCAAGACTGATTTCCTGTAATAAGAGTGGAGGGGAAACATGCTTAGAGAGGCTTTAGTGGCAGGTTGGTTAAGTGAATCTAGATCATCTGTGCATGGCAAGGTTATAGCCGTTGCTAAGCTTTTCCCCAGTGACATCCGATGGAGGGATATGTTTCTCTTCACTAAGCAAGCTTTCTTTTTAGTATCTGGTAATGACACTATTCTGCCATAGTGCAGACCAGCTTCTTACATTCTCCTTCCCCTAAGAGTCGACATTTCCATCCTGGAAAAATTAGTGGTTGTAGAAGAAATTGTTTTTAGCTGCTGTAGAAGGAATTTCTTTTCTGTGTGGCAAGGAAATTGGTAACCCCTTCTCAGTTTTGTAGGGAATAATTGTGCTTATGATAATAAAATGTTCAGTAGCAAGCCTCTTTCATTTCCAGTCCATCAATCATAAATACATATTGTCTACCATGAGTTCGACAGTGTGATAGTGGTATAAAGAAGCTGAAGACATGATCTTGGCCACATTCATTCAGTAAATTTATCAAGCATCTACTGTATTAAGGATGGCAGACAAAATCCCTGACATCCTAATCTGTAATTCATTCAACAAATGTTTATTGAGTCTCTATTATGTGCTATATGCTGTTCTAGGTATTTGAGAGACATCAGTGAACAGATCAGACAAAAATCCTTGTTCTTGTGGAATGGGGGAGATGGACATTCAACAAAAATGGTCTTGATTACAATTGTGTGTTTAGGGAACTAATCTTCATTGGGCATCTAGTATAAGCTAAGAGCCAGGGAACAGTGGTAAGAATTGTGTGGTATTTGATCAACTAGAGCTTATTCTCTAGCTACCAGAGGGTTTATGCTTAGTAGTGTAATTCTTACACAATTAGAAAACAGTACAAAATACTGTACAAGATTTCCAAAACTGTCTTGGAGACTGTGAAGACACTGTGAGCACGAGGAAGTGGCCCTTGGGTTCCTCTCAGGCAGGGGAAGTGACATAAACAAGAGGCCACTGTTCCATCAGACGGGGTGGGGGGTGGGCAACTGGTTACAGGGCTAGGGGAACTGATGGGGAATCAAGTTGAATAAATAGGGTATTCATTTGTGTATATTGTGGGGCCCTTGAAATCAGACACAGGAGTTTGTTTTAAACTCATATGACAGGAAATGGTGAATCTATTAAATAGGTGTGTGTGTGTGTGTGTGTGAGAGAGAGAGAGAGAGAGAGAGAGATATAGAGAGAGAGAGAGAGAGTGACTGAGAGAAGAGAGGAGAGAGAACAAGAGAGAGTGCACAGAGGAATAATTCTACCAGGGCTGTTTTCTTTCTAAAAAAACCTCCTTCACTGGCTCCCTCTTGGCAAAGCATATCATCCCTTTCACAAGCCAACCTCACCTATGTTGTCAGTCTAGTTTTAAACATTCACCCCATGACTCTTCATTCTGGACTCAGTGACCATCTGGTGCTTCCTTTCATACCTCAGTGCCTTTGCGCAGACATATTTACTCTACCCTGTATTCCTTTACCCCCTTTCCACCCTTTTGAGACCATATCCATCTTTGCTGCTGAGGAGCTTCCCTCAGCCCACTCCAGCCAGAGCTGGTTTACTTCACATTTCTTTTCTATTATGCTACTTAATACATGTCACAATCACAGATTTATCACACTGAGTGTCACTGTTCATCTTGACAATCTCTATCCCCTAATATGCTAGTCTGTTCATCTCAGACTCACCTCTTTCCTCTACTAGACTGTGAGTGCTGAGAGGGCCAGAACCTTGCCTTAGTCTTTTTCATTTCCCCAGCACCAAACACAGACTCTTGCACATGCTAGGATGAACATCCTGCTTAAGGCCTCACGTCCCACTTAGGGCTGGAAGGAGCAGGACAGAGGGGTGGCACAGAGAGGTTAAAGAAGAAAGTGGAGGAGGAGAATATGAAAATAAAAGGGAGATCGAAGTAAAGGGATAAATGAGGCAAGAGAGGCAGCATTCTGGGATGGGTAATATGAAGAGTAATATAATAAGCTTACCCCAAATGGGTGGGGTTAATTTAAAAAAAACCATTCCTTCAGCACCTACTATGTGTGGATAACACTATGTTAGACACTGTGGGGACATAAAGTTAAATAAAGCACCTTTCCATATGATTTGGTTGGGAAGGTACACAGAGAGACACAGAGGCAAAGATACGCAGAGAGGCTGATCACAGCTATACAAACAAATATACATTTCTTAAAGTTCTTAAAGTTCAGCACTATTTTCACCTTCAGGACATTTCATATGAAGCCCCTCAGCAGTGCAGAAGACATTTTTTTGAGAAATATTAGATATGGAAATTGACTTGCCTAGCTGAGATTTCAGTAAATCTTAACAAGGTAGACTAGAAATAACTTTCTTAGAAAATGGACTAAGGCAAGTTGACATGGGATTGTGAATTTTAATACCATTCAAGAGTATTTCTCATTTCTACATGTCCCAAATTGTATATTATGGAAGGCAAGATCATGGTTAGAAAAAGAGGAAAGGATTCATGGAGAAATGGAAAAGAGTGGATGGAAACAAAGTGAATGAAAAATAGATACAGAAGAGAATTTCAAAGAAGGAATAATGAGAAGACACAAGAGGCAACAGAAATAAAAAGGTATTCCTATTCAGGAAACTGATTTTTAAAACTGTACTCATGAATGATTTATTTAAATGATGATATTCAAACTATCTGTTTAAGTGATGTTTATCTGATGGCTGTAATGTAAAATATGAGATTTTAAGAAAATAAGTAGGAGGTGCTTTTAAACTTTATGATAGGCACTCAGCCAAAGGTAATTGAAGGGATTCTAGAAAAAGTATTAGAAAATGAAAATGCTAAGTCCATTATGTGAGTAAGAGATAAGAGGTTGATGTCTTTTACTGGTTCCTAAGACAGGAAATAGTAATATCCCAAGACATTATCCAGAAGCTCAACTTAATGCTCCTGTTTTATGATAGTGTGATACTGGGGTGGCTTACCATTTAGAGTTTTATTTCATTTTGTTAATCAAACCTTGAGTCACTACTAAGTGGCTAGCCTCAGAGACCACTCCTTAGCTATGACCAAGGAGCTCAACAAGTATTAGCTGAGCCCCAAATGAGCTCATCAATTGAGCATTGTGTCCTAAGGTATTGGGGAGAATATAAAAGGGCACACAGGGGCCCTGCCACCCTGGCTCCTCAGTAGTTTCTTACCATGTAGTAGGCAGCAAGTAGGATAGGTAAGTAGAGAAGAAAGCAGGTACTGTGGTAATTGACTAAAGGTCTGTGTTAAAGTGAGTGGTCAGACTATAGGCACTGATGTTACGGAAATAGGTGTGTGGGTGGGGCAGGGGTTGGTGGGGGGAGGATGCTTTCACTGAGTTGGGGGTTGAGCTGAACCTTAAGTAGGGGACAGGAATTTTGAGTGAGGCTGGGGAGTGGGAAATAGATCTTGTTTATTGGGAAGACAATCATAACTGACCTATTGTAGAACAGAAAATTTACACTGGAAATGCAGTAAGGAGTAAGTTACCATTTTGGTCAGGCAAGGCATAGTTGTGTAAAAGAAAAGCATTTAAAGCTGAACCTTGAAAGTTACAGAAAGTTAATAGGGAAGGGACACAAATTCCTACTAAATATTGAATGTAAAACAAGTAGCAACAATACTAAAGGACTTTTTCCTACATTTTCAGCCTCAAACATGTGCTTTTATGATTGGAAAAAGGGAGAAATTAAGAGGTTGTGCCCGAGAAAGTATTGAACTCTTCACCACAACAGTCTGGAATGGGCAGGGGGACATCCTAGGTGACTGGGCTACTGGAGTAGTGGCAAAAGTAAAACTCAACAAAAAAACCCCAGTACAAGGCAGAATGGGGGAAATTATCAAGGTTCTTGTGCTTCAGGGGCTCTGAAGAGCCCTTGTTTGTGGCTGAATGTCTGAGCACAGCCGTCTTTGCTCGGGTTATTCCCAGCCAAGATTGCTGTTCGTACAATGGCAGCCATGTCTCGTCACCAAGTGCACCCTGCTTCTGTGAGGGAAACAGAAGTTGGCAGGTCTTAGTCCTAGGCAAGTTACTGAGCCTCGTTGAACCTGTTTCCTCCTCTGGACAGTGTGGACAGCCATAGTCTTGGCCTCACAATAAGGGCTTTTGTGATGTATGTATGAGGTAAGGTGTCAGGTGCTTAGCTACAGTGGTGGGTACATAGTCAATGCTCAATTTACAGTCATTATTGATACTTTAAAGAATAAATTTATCTTACGACCTAGAGAACTACTTCTTTCACTGCCTAAATGGGATTAGATACTCCTTAGGTCTGGGTTTGGACCCATACCCAGGCCTACATTTGAACTGAATTGAACTCTTCTGGGTTTGATGGCATGGCAGGGGGATAAGGGGGTGTAGCGGGTGGCAGGCAGTGGTTCAAGGTGTTGTGGCCAGAGGAATATTACATTCCGTGTCAGCCTTTGGTTTAATTTGGCACCAACTGTTGCTCAAACAAAGCAACGTTGTAAGTGGCAGAGGAAGGGAGAGGAGAAAAATCAACACATTCTTGGAAATAAGATGTGGCTTTTGCTTTGACTATTTTGTGTTTTCTCTTCAGCCACAGAAACATTTCTTTGCTCTCAGGCTCACAACGAAAATCCCTTCCAGGACGTGGTACAAACCTAAGCTTCAGAGAAAACTTCATTTAAGATGACAAGGAGTTAGCAAGACTTTCCTTGATACTTGTTTGTTTTAATAAGAGAACCCCTCAGATAGTGTTTAGCCTAGGAAGAAAGCTTTGCACAGACTTAGAGTTCCCCTCACCCTCATTTCCTGTAGCTATGGCAAATGTGGTACTCTAAAAGTTGATGTCTGTTCTATTTCCTGACGACCTTGCCTCAGTGTTTAGAAGTGTATAGATATATCATTTACCCTTTCTTTCCATGTATTTATGTGTTAGGCTTTTCTAATTTTAGGATGCAATTTTAGCATTAAGACTGGCAGTGCAATAATTCATTCTCCAGTAGTTGCTCTCTTGGACCTCAGACATCTGGCATGATGCTATAGGAACTGGTCCTAGGTCAATATTCAAACCACAGGGAAGCTCTGTGTGACCAAGTTAATGGAATTTTCCTGTTTCCTGGGTCTGTGGTATGTTTAAAGCAAAATTGCAAGCAGAAAACTTCAAGCATCACCTCTCCTTCACTTTTGTATGACTTTGTGCAATAGCAGTACAGTAAAGTCTCACTTATGATGTTAAGCTTGTGTCAGTGATGATGTGGTGAGTTGGACAGGAACTGATATATTCTTCTCCCAGCCCTGTGGAGAGATAACAGTCACTCAACACCCAGTCTCTGCCCTCAAAGAGCTTACTTAACGCATACTTTGTGTTGTAACAGTATAGACCAACCTCTCCACAATACCTAACATGCAATCATGGGGCTACCTACATACATTATTTAATAGGAAGAAAATACTACCCCTTCATACTTGAAAAGACATCTGTAATTTATTAGGAAAATCCATTGTAAGTTTACGTGTTAACTTGTTTTTGGTTGAAACATCAGTGCTCTGGGGGTCATCATCCAGATAAAGCAGCATACAAATCTACAGCGTTGTCAGTGTTAGATATCAACTCAGATTTCCTAGGGGTAACTTTTTTTCTCATACGATATATTTTTTTATGGAGGGAGCAAGAAGGCCCAGAGAAAGTTTCACAAAGTATGTGGTTTCCACTAAATGGAAAATGGAGTCTTCACACCCAACACTGATCTTCTTTTCTCCTTGGTTACATCATCTCTCCTGTGTTTCCAGAAAGATGAATGCTGGGGATTGGGCTGAAGTCCCAGAGTAAAATGGGAGACCAAGATGCCTACACCACTTCATTAATTCATTTGTATTTTTTTTGTAAATGTACTTGAACCTGACTAGATGAAAAAGACATCTCTATTCTGAGGTTTCTATGAGAAGTAAATGACCTATTTAAATTGAGGGCAATTTGAATGGCTCATTTGGTCACTCTTGAAGCTTACAAGGTGCCAGAAAGCAGGAAACAATGGATATCTGTAACGTCTAAGCTCATTTATTTTTTTTCCCCTTGATGAAAGGCATAGAATTAACTTGGGCAAAGCACTTGCACATACATCCTTTCTGAAATAGACATCCCCATTTTACAGATGTGTCAAGGAACTTAAAATATCCTTTAAGGCTCTGCTGATTTGCATAATCCACATTTTCTAGGCCTTTCAACTGTCTGGAGACTTGTCTTCACATTTAACCATTCCTGAAGTAAAGCCCGGAACAAAAAGAGCCTCTGCTTTTATCATCAGCATTTAGGAGGCCATGGAAAGGGCTTTTTAAAACCCAGGGTTGCCTCTGGACATATGAGACAGGATACTTTTTGGTGATTCATTCCCATCCTGTAAGCAGTTTAACTCCTTAGGAACACATAGTCTCAAATTCTAGAATTTGTCTAGGACAGACACCCCACAACCAAATACCATAGGCAGCTTGTATAATAGAGGAGGAGATTGGAAAGCACAGTCATCTCTTGTTTTGGCTTTGCTATTAGCTCTGTGACTTTCAATTTCAACATTTAAAAGGGAGTCACATTTACCTGACCATCTCCATAACACTTTCACTTTTTAAAAGTTCGCAGCTAATATCTGAACTTACATTCAGTATTAGTAATTTGAAAACATTTTCCCTCAACTTTCCAATTAGAGGATAAGAAAGGGATAATGGAGATCTGTAAACTCCAGTTTTGGAATTCTTCCAACAGGTGATTATTCCCTGCAATTCATTCACTCTTAAGCCCCTTCCCCACAGGTCTGAACATAAGAATGTTCAAAAATTCAAAAGCGCAAGAATGAGAAGAAAAAAATTAGCTTAATTCCACCGCTCCGGCAAATTTTACGTTTCCTTTCAGTTCTGAAAAACGTGTGACTTTGCAATGCGCTGGGTTCTCTGGAAATATATCTCTTGTGGGTATTTTGCCATGTAATAAAACAGTCGGGTCACTTTTAACCTCTTTTCATTCCTTTCCTTCTTTCTAGGAAACCAGGGGTTGGCCAAGCCGAATATCAGGGGGCTGCTGGCGTTGCTGGTGATAGAAACAATATGACCAAGCTATAAGGTCAGGGGACGGGCGGGGCGGGAAAGATTCTTTGAGAGAAAAACCAAGCACCACTTGAAGATCCAAGAAATTTCCGGCACTAGAACCTTTGCATGTAGTTTTCCGTAACTTTCGGCACGGGGCTCTCGGAAATTGTCGTCACTTTCCGGACAGCATTCCGGACTCAACCCTCTAGAAAACAGCAGTGTTTCCGGCTTTTCTCAGTTGTAGACGCTCGTAAGTTTCCGGCAGTTTCCGGGGAGACTCGGGAACTCCGCGTCTGGCTCGCTGGGTTCCGATCACCCGGTGCTGCGGGGCAGGGTCGTGGGTTAGTCATGGCGTCCCCGTCTCGGAGGCTGCAGACAAAACCAGTCATTACTTGTTTCAAGAGCGTCCTCTTGATCTATACTTTCATCTTCTGGGTGAGAGACAGAGGCTGCCGGGACTGGAGGGGACCCCCGGGCTTGGACGGGGGGTGTGACCCTGAGCGGAGGGAGCTCAGGTCGCGGCAGGGGGGAGGGAAGCGCGGGTGGGGTTTGGGCGGCCGTCCCTGCTGGACCCCGGCGTTGGTGAGGAGTTGCTGGGGCCCGAGTCGAGCTCTGGCATCTCGCCCGCACCGGGATCGGGGAGCCGGAGGCGGGCAACTACAGGCTGAGCTGGGACCCAGATGTGCCTAGCGTTCGAATTCCATGCGGAGGGCGGGAGGGCCCAGGGAGGGAGCTACTGAGCGCGCTGGGATGACCCCGGAGCCTTGGAAAGGCAAAGCTAGCCGGCCCTTGGGGGCTTGCTTGCATAATAGTCTCTTTCTTTTCACTGCTTCCTAAGAGGGGAGTATTTCGCAGGTAAGTAGGGTAATGGCTTCACTCCCGCCAACCTATCCTTGGGCTTGATTTTGTGAACCATCTCTTTGTACCCTGTGCTCATCTCTGAACTGGGGGCGTGGCGGGGTGGGGTAGTTTCTGGAACCCATAGAAACACCTTTTTTTTTTTTATTTCCAGGAAGGTTGTCTTCCCCAGGCATGAGTAAAACAGTTAAGGAAGTTTTGATCCCCCGGACAAAGTGTCATATGCCTGAGTTTACACGAAGAACAGATGTTTAAGAATTTTGTTTAGATAGCTTCTCTAGCTGCCCCCAGGTTTTGCCGTGGCTGCCTGGGCTACCTAGTGATCCAGTCTGTGGACTTACCAAGGCCTGTGCTGCGTGCAGATCCCCATTCTACGCCGCTTCTGTCTCCCCTTGTCTGCTTTATCCAAGCCACAGCTCTGTGGCCACAGACTACTAAATCAATTCTCATACCTATTGTTTCTTAACGACCTAGTCGTTTGTGGTTTGGAGATGCTGCTGTAAACAGTGCATAACTTTCTTTTCTCTGATTTCCCTCAAAGATCACTGGTGTTATCCTTCTTGCCGTTGGCATTTGGGGCAAGCTGAGCCTAGAGAATTATTTTTCCCTTTTAAATGAGAAGGCTACCAATGTCCCCTTCGTGCTCATTGGCACTGGGACTGTCATCATTCTTTTGGGCACCTTCGGCTGTTGTGCTACGTGCCGAGCTTCTGCATGGATGCTAAAACTGGTGAGTCCTTGTTTCCCTTAGAAATGATTCTTGGTTTTAGAAAAGTCTTGTATGTTGTAGGCTTTGTTTCTTGGAACCGGCCATGGCCCTTTATGGTTTTTCCTGTTCCTTATAAAAAGTAGCAGTTCAGCTGCCAGTTTCCACTTCTGTTGTGTTTTTCCTGCCCTTTTCAATAAAACGTGCTGAATTGATTGAGCAGACCATTTGTTTGTTTGTTTTTCCTTTGACTCCCTTTACAGCTGTGATGTAATTTATGCTGACCTGGACTTTGTTTTTATCTCACAGTATGCAATGTTTCTGACTCTTATTTTTTTGGTCGAACTGGTCGCTGCCATCGTAGGATTTGTGTTCAGATATGAGGTAAGTCTGAATTTGGAAACCTTAATATGCAAAATTTATCCTCTAAGAGGTAAAAGTGGATTAAGTAAAACAGACAACTTTTAATAATTTGAAAATCACTTACAATGATTACAGTGAATAGCTTGCAATAATGTCTTGGAAAAATTCTAGCCCACTTTTAATCTAAAAGAAAATTTAGAAAATTGTTAAGACTGACAATCACCAGAATCACAGGTAACCATGATTACATGTATTTGCAGTCATTTTTCTGTGTATATGAACCTATTATCGTGGAGATAGTACAATTTATAACTTTACTGATAGGAAAATATTTAGAACATGCAATTGATGACACAAAATTGATGCCATATTAATAGCCAAGCATTTTGAAAAGATTGTACACACTTAATGCAAATCATCAAAACCTTAATATTGAATTAGAAATCAGTGTTCCACTGTGTTAAGCCTGGAGCTGGGAAATCAGTCAGTGAGTTTTCCAAAGTAGGGTTTTATAACTAAAAAATCCCATTGGCATCAAATCTGTACTCAGTTTAAAGTAGAGAAAGTTTAGGGGTGGGGAGCTACAGCAGTACGGAGCTGCCACTTGAATAAATATATGCTCCCACAGTACTTTGACCTTGTAGTGCTTAGTCTCTTTTATTGTACTGTTTTGTTTAGTAGTCCTCTCAGCTAAACTACATCTCTTAGAAGACAGAATGGAACCATAGACGTTCATTACCATACATGCTGATGCTTTCAAAGATCTGACCATTGGTCAGATGTGGGAATTTCTTATTTGACCTAGAAACGAAAAGAATTTTCCAGAATCTTTGCTTACTGGTATTGTGTTTCTTTGCTGTAGATTAAGAACAGCTTTAAGAATAATTATGAGAAAGCTTTAAAGCAGTATAACACTACGGGAGATTATAGAAACCACGCAGTAGACAAGATTCAAAGTATGGTAAGTGGTCATCGGTGGTGGCTTCCTAAGAGGAGAGCATTCCTGTCGGGTAGTTCCTGTCAACCAGATGTTGTGCACTTGTACTATATTCTTATTATAATCTTAGATTAGGAGACAATGGAGCTATGTCCTTTGAAAAGTGTGGAATGACACTAAGTGACATATCTCCGCGTTCTCCAAGTCATTCTCCTCACATCATGGACCAAGTACTGTTAGTAACAGCTGTTGCAGGGAAGTGCCGCCTGTCCAAAAAATGTCGCACCTGGTGTTAGGAACAAGTGCCAACTCTTGAATTATAATGCCAATTGTGGACAGCCACTTTAAAATGTTAGGATAGAGATCACTGAGTATAAGAAATGTTTTGAGCACAAATTGCCATTTAAGATGATAGGTTAAATGACTACAAAGTTGTAATGTGAATTATAAATGCTTTTGTTGGATATTTTTCAGTTGCATTGTTGTGGTGTCACCAACTATAGAGATTGGCAGGATACTAACTATTATTCAGAAAAAGGATATCCCAAGAGCTGCTGTAAACATGAAGATTGTTCTCCACAGAGAGATGCAGATAAAGTAAATATGGAAGTAAGGAGCCTTGTAAACTTTTTTGTTCAAAAATATTAACTGAATAAGAGGTGACTCACAGTTTTTTAATTTTTGCTCACAATACAATCTGAAATAGGAGGGGCAGCTGTGATTCTCATTGAATAACAGAGGAAACTGAAGTTCAGAAAATTTAGTGACTTGAGTTCACACAACTAGCAGGTAACAATTTTAAATGCCTAATGCAAAGAGTGAAACTTCTGTTCCTCAAGCCTTGTGCTTGAAAGGAGACAGGCTTTGATATATGAAAGAGTAAATAATAAAATGATAAAGGCTATGGTGGCTGAAGCTCAACTTCCTGGAGAGAGGTATGATCAAAATATTATTATTGCTTGTACTGTACTTAATGTTCTTTTTTTTTGGTATCATTAATCTACAATTACATGAGGAACATTATGTTTACTAGGCTCCCCCCTTCACCAAATCCCCCCCACAAAACCCATTACAGTCACTGTCCATCAGTGTAGTAAGATGCTGTAGAGTCACTACTTGTCTTCTCTGTGTTGCACAGCTCTCCCGGTGCCTCCCCCCACATTATACATGCTAAACATAGTGCCCCCTTTCTTTATCCCCCCCTTATCCCTCCCTTCCCACCCATCCTCCCCATTCCCTTTCCCTTTGGTAACTGTTAGTCCATTCTTGGGTTCTGTGATTCTGCTGCTGTTTTGTTACTTCAGTTTTTCCTTTGTTCTTACATTCCACATATGACTGAAATCATTTGGTACTTCTCTTTCTCCACCTGGCTTATTTCACTGAGCATAATACCCTCTAGCTCCATCCATGTTGTTGCGAATGGTAGGATTTGTTTTCTTATGACTGAATAATATTCCATTGTGTATATGTACCACATCTTCTTTATCCATTCATCTACTGATGGACATTTAGGTTGCTTCCATATCTTTGCTATTGTAAATAGTGCTGCGATAAACATAGGGGTGCATCTGTCTTTTTCAAACTTGGCTGCTGAATTCTTAGGGAAAATTCTGAGAAGTCGAATTCCTGGGTCAAATGGTATTTCTATTTTGAGCTTTTTGAGGAACCTCCATACTACTTTCCACAATGGTTGAACTAATTTACATTCCCACCAGTAGCATAGGAGGGTTCCCCTTTCTTCACCTTGCCAACATTTGTTGTTGTTTGTCGTGTTGTGATGGTGGTGATCCTTACTGGTGTGAGGTGGTATCTCATTGTGGTTTTAATTTGCATTTCTCTATGACTAGCGATGTGGAGCATCTTTTCATGTTTCTGTTGGCCATCTGAATTTCTTTGGAGAACTGTTCAGCTCCTCTGCCCATTCTTTAATTGGATTATTTGCTTTTTGTTTGTTGAGGTGCATGAGCTCTTTATATATTTTGGATGTCAAACCTTAATCAGATCTGTCATTTATAAATATATTCTCCCATACTGTAGGATATCTTTTTGTTCTATTGATGGTGTCCTTTGCTGTACAGAAGCTTTTCAGCTTGATGTAGTCCTACTTGTTCATATTTGCTTTTGTTTCCCTTGCCAGGGGAGATATGTCCATGAAAAAGTTGCTCATTATGTCCAAGAGATTTTTGCCTATGTTTTTTTCAAAGAGTTTTATGGTTTCATGACTTACATTCAGGTCTTTGATCCATTTCGAATTTACTTTTGCATATGGGGTTAGACAATGATCCAATTTCATTCTCTTACATGTAGCTGTCCAGTTTTGCCAACACCAGCTGTTGAAGAGGCTGTTATTTCCCCATTGTATGTCCATGGCTCCTTTATCGTATATTAATTGACCATATATGTTTGGGTTAATGTTTGGAGTCTCTATTCTGTTCCACTAGTCTGTGGGTCTGTTCTTGTGCCAGTACCAAATTGTCTTGATTACTGTGGCTTTGTAGTAGAGCTTGAAGTTGGGAAGCAAGATCTCCTCCACTTTATTCTTCCTTCTCAGGATTGCTTTGGCTATTCTGGGTCTTTGGTGGTTCCATATGAATTTTTGAACTATTTGTTCCAGGTCATTAAAGAATGCTGTTGGTAATTTGATAGGGATTGCATTGAATCTGTAGATTGCCTTGGGCAGGATGGCCATTTTGATGATATTAATTCTTCCTAGCCAAGAGCATGGGATGAGTTTCCATTTGTTAGTGTCCTCTTTAATTTCTCTTAAGAATGTCTTGTAGTTTTCAGGGTATAGGTCTTTCACTTCCTTGGTAAGGTTTATTCCTATGTATTTTATTCTTTTTGATGCAATTGTGAATGGAATTGTTTTCCTGATTTCTCTTTCTATTAGTTGATTGTTAGTGTATAGGAAAGCCACAGATTTCTGGAACTTTGCTGAATTCCAATATTAGTTCTAGTAGTTTTGGAGTGGAGTCTAGGGTTTTTTATGTACAATACATGTCATCTGCAAATAGTGACAGTTTGACTTCTTCTTTACCAATCTGGATTCCTTGTATTTCTTTGTTTTGTCTCATTACCGTGGCTAGGACTTCCAGTACTATGTTGAATAACAGTGGGAAGAGTGAGCATCCCTGTCTTCTTCCCGATATTAAAGGAAAAGCTTTCAGCTTCTTGCTGTTCAGTATGATGTTGGCTGTGGGTTTATCATATATGGCCTTTAGTATGTTTAGGTACTTGTCCTCTATACCCATTTTGCTGAGAGTTTTTATCATGAACGGATGTTGAATTTTGTCAAATGCTTTTTGTCTATGGAGATGATCATGTGATTTTTGTCCTTCTTTTTGTTTATGTGGTGGATGATGTTGATGGATTTTTGAATGTTGTATCATCCTTGCATCCCTGGGATGAATCCCACTTGGTCATGGTGTACGATTCTCTTGATGTATTTTTAATTTGGTTTGCTAATATTTTGTTGTGTATTTTTGCATCTATGTTCATCAGGGATATTGGTCTGTAATTTTCTTTTTTGGTGGGGTCTTTGCCTGGTTTTGGTATTAGGGTGATGTTGGCTTCATAGAATGAGTTTGGAAGTATTCCCTCCTCTTCTATTTTCTGGAAAACTTTAAGGAGAATGGGTATTATGTCTTCTCTGTATGTCTGATAAAATTCTGAGGTAAATCCACCTGGCCCAGAGGTTTTGTTCTTGGGTAGATTTTTGATTACTGCTTCAATTTCATTGCTCATAATTAGTTTGTTTAACTTTTGTGTTTCTTACTTAGCCAGTCTTGGAAGGTTGTACTTTTCTAGGAAGTCTTCCATTTCTTCTAGGTTTTCCAGCTTGTTAGCATATAGGTTTTCATAGTATTCTCTAACAATTCTTTGTATTTCTGTGGGGTGTGTCATGATTTTTCCTTTCTCGTTTCTGATTCTGTTGATGTGTGTTGATTCGCTTTTTCTCTTAATAAGTTTGGCTAGAGGCTTATCTATTTTGTTTATTTTCTCAAAGAACCAGCTCTTGGTTTCGTTGATTTTT